CCCTAAAAATTTTCTCCCCCTTGGGACATTTTGAAAAAAAAGGGTCCAAAGTCATGCTTTGGTTTTTTAAAGGGTTTTTAAAGAAAAAAAAATTTCATAAATCCCGTCCCCCCCCTTCGTGCCCCTTATTAAAAAACGGCCCCGAAGACATTAAAACTTTTCTCAAAAGTTTTTTAAAAACAATTAAATTCTAAACGTTCGGACAAAAACTGCGGGGGGGATCCAAAATATAAGAGCTACAGTAAAATCGGGCAATCTCATGCAAAAGGGATACATTCGGCTATTTCTAGACTTTAAGCCCCAAAACAGTCCCAACTTAAAAACTTTTTATAAAATTTCCTCTGAAATGTTCCCCCAAACTAGAAAAAAAATTTAAAAATTTTGGGAAATTAACAACCATTAAAAGCAATAGGGACCCAGGCAGATGGTTCCCAACCTTTAAAAGGAGTTGGCGGCAGACACATTATAGTTCTACTCGTGGCGTACAAGAGTTTAACTGTGAGGGCATTAGTGTGTTGAAAACTTAGATGTGATTTTACTTGGTGGAATAACCTTTTCAGGGCACAAATTGGACTATTATGGTTAGCCCTGGCAAAGGCAACAAATTGTTATTCATGTTCTGAAATACAGGTTTTATGCACCAGAGGTACCGGACTCGGTTTTCTCACAGTGTTCGAGGACCAGAGCTTTTCGTCTTAGGTCAAGTTCCAATAGGTCTTCAATTACAGGGCCGGGATCTTACCTGAGAGGTCACTTTGCCAGACAACATTGATCCAGATGGGACACTTTCCATAGAGCCAATTTTGGGAGCAGCATTAACAAACAATGGCCACTTCCACAAGTTATTGAAGCAGTGTCTGGTAAAGTAAGGACTACTGAATTTCAAACGACCAATCCCATCCATTGTGCATAAAAATGAACATGTTTGTCAAGCTCGCCACACTGTTGACTCTTATGATACAAAAGTTCAAGACTTTCAAGACACACCCCCGGTTCGTACTTGTCATGCCAAGATGACTACCAATAATAATTTCTCTGATACGGTATCAGTTGACCCAGATGCTATATACTACCTGCAAATACTCGCAGTGTTTCCAGAACATCTTAGAGCAATATGATAGTGTATTTTGATAAGACTCTGTCTGGATATAATGGTTTTTCTGGGCCATTCAAAGCAGTTGTTAACATGGGCCCTGTTCAACCACCTCAGCGTAAAGGACGCCTACCTCAATATGCAAGAGATAAGTTAGTTGAGCTACAAGAACACTTCGATGATTTAGAACAGCAAGGAGTGTTTCGCGCCCAGAAGATATCCCAATTACAGTTGAATACTTAAACCCTTCTTTCTTGGTAAAAAAAAGGTCAGGGAGGTTTTCGGTGGTCACAGCGTTTGCTGATGTTGGTCGTTATGCTAAACCTCAGCCTTTCACTCATGCCAGATGTAGACACTATACTTCGTACAATAGGTCAATGGACATACATAATAGTAAAACTGACCTAACAAGCGCATTTCTACCAAATTCCTTTGTCGAAGGAGTCCATGAAGTATTGCGGAGTAGCGACACCTTACAATCTTTCTCTTTTCTCTGTGGCATACGTGTTTATACAAGATGTGCCATGGGTATGCCAGGCTCAGAAACGGCATTGGAAGAACTCATGTGTCGTGTGCTAGGTGATTTATTGCAAGAAGGTTGTTGTGGCGAAACTTGCAGATGATTTTGTACATCGGTGGAAACACTACAACACGAACTCCCTTGCCAATTGGACCCGTGTATTAGATGCTTTACAGAAAAACAACTTTGAAACTGAAGCCCACAAAAACCATCATATGTCCAAGATCCACTACGATCCTTGGATGGATATGGTCCCAAGGAAAATTTTCAGCAAGCCCCCATCGTATAGCTTCTCTTCGCTTGTCCACCCCCTCAAACTGTCCATGGGTTACGATCATACATTGGCGCTTACAAGGTGTTGGGTCGTGTTCTACCTGGTTGTTCGCAATTGATAGCTCCACTCGACAACATTACAGCTGGTGGGAACTCTTCAGACAAAATCGTTTGGATGAAGCCTCACTTAAACATTTTCAAAACACTCAGTCAGCCACTAAATTCAAACAAGTCAATTGTCCTTCCTAGACCTACAGACCAACTTTGGATAGTCACTGATGGGTCAGTCAAGAAACGTGGCATTGGCGCTACATTATACGTTACGCGGCATGGCAAGCTGTTACTCGCTGGATTCTTCAGTGCCAAGTTACGAAAAACACCAGTCACTTGGTTACCTTGTGAGATAGAGGCTCTTGGCATTGCAGCCGCAGTCAAGCACTTCAGTCCATACATTATACAGTCCAGTCAGCAGACGTGTGTGCTAACAGACAGTAAACCGTGTGTTCAAGCAATTGATAAGTTATGTAGAGGCGAGTTTTCTGCTAGTCCAAGAGTGACATCCTTTCTTTCTGTTGTTAGCCGATATCAAGTACATGTTAAACATCTTGCTGGTTCTGCCAATGTCCCATCCGATTTTGCCAGCCGCAACGCACCAGAATGTGAAAACCCCACTTGCCAAATATGTACATTTATTCATATCACTGAGGATTCTGTTGTTAGAGCGACTAACATAGAGGACGTACTTAACAGTAAGAGCCGCTTACCATTCACATCCAGATCAGCTTTGGAAAGATATTCAGTCAGAGTGCCCAGACCTTAGACGCGTTCATTCACATTTATTACAAGGCACTAGGCCTTCAAAGAAACTAACAAATGTTAAAGATGTCAAACGTTACCTCAACTCTGTATCTATTGCCAAGGATGGTATACTTGTCGTAAAACATACTGATCCTCTTGTGTCTTCGGTTGACCTAATTGTCGTACCAGATCTGCCATTGATGGTCTTATCACCGCCTTGCATATCAAACTTGACCATCCATCAAAACATCAAATACTACAGGTTTTGAAGAGACATTTTTATGCCTTGGACATGAGCCAAGCAGTTGAAAGAGTATCTGACATGTGTCATAGCTGCGCGTCTTTACGTAAACTACCAACAGGGTTTTGTACTCAATCCTCAGAAGACCCTCCTGAGGTAGTAGGAATGAGTTTCGCTGCAGACGTCATGAAACGTAATAAACAGTTAGTACTTGTGTTAAGAGAAACATCAACTTCATACACTGTTGCCTCCATAGTAGAAAATGAAAGAAGAGATACTATAAGAGATTCCTTAGTATGCCTGTGCACTGAGTTACATCCAATTCATGGACCTCCTGCTGTCATTCGAGTTGACGCTGCTCCATGTTTACATCTTTGAGAGATGACGCCATACTCCGTCGTCTGAATATAACCTTAGATATTGGTCGCGTGAAAAATGTTAACAAAAAACCCTGTAGGAGAAAAAGCAATTCAAGAGCTTGAAGATGAGATCATACGTATTGAGCCAGATGGCGGTTCGCTTTCTAAGGTTCAACTGGCGATTGCTGTCGCGAAACTGAATTGTCGCATCCGTCGTGAAGGATTATCAGCTAGAGAGTTGTGGACGCAAAGAAATCAGTTTACTCATGAACAACTTCCTATTTCGGACAGAAATGTTATTTCTCAACAGTATCAGGCACGTTTAGAAAATCACAGTGCAAGTGAAAAGTCCAAAACCTCTAAGTCATCTGTCAAAGCCTCTCATGTTAGTGTAGGAGATATAGTTTACTTATATTCTGACAAGAATAAATTACATTCCAGGCAAAGATACCTTGTAGTGTCAAAAGAAGATGATTGGTTTTACGTAAAGAAGTTCATCGGTAACCAGTTACGCGCTTCCTCGTATAAAGTGAAACAAAACGAATGTTTCCGCGTTCCCACAGAAATACAAAATTTTAATCTTTCTAAGTGCAAAATTCCAGCAAGACAATGATAGCGACGATATAGACAGTGACATTTCTGTTCCGCAGGACAACGTTCATATTCCGCCTTCATTAACTGCACCACTAGGAGCTACAGAAATGCCTGAAGTTCAGAGTCCTCCGAGTGTTTAGTGGAGAAATGGACACACATGAACCTGACACTGAAACATCTCTTAGTCTTACTGACAGTACTAACTCTAGTTTAAGTTATACTAATGAGGGGACTGAATTACATTCAGAAAGACCGCAGAGGCTCCGCAAGCAACCTAAATACCTTGATGATTACATTACATAGACATATACATAATTGATAAGTTACCATTTTAATAACTGTTTATATCATTGTTTTGTTAAACGTTTATGGATTTGATTATTAAGAGTGTCTCCATTATTAGACTATATTTCATCACTTAGTTTATCTTAAAAGGATATGTATACGTTATTAAGTTAAATTTCAAAAAGAAAGAAAGGTAGCGCCATAGGTCTCAACCCGGTACGGAATTAGACCCAGCCCATTGTAGTCTAGAAAGTAGTTCTTTAAAATTATGAAATGGCCCAATTTAAGTCATCTCTAGTTAGATTGTTCATAATTAAAGTGTATTTATTGCATGTGTGTAGTTTTTGTGTGTTATATGATGACTTTAAAAGTTGTTTTTTGTGTATTCTCCAGGAACTCATTTGTTGGTGGAAGGATTAAAGATGTACTACCCACCAGCTGTCAGGAGTTTTTAAAGTGGTGAATTTAAACAGTGTTACAACAGAATGAAGATTTCTGAAAAAAGTAGATGGCTAACCTATTATATTTTGGGCATCATTTGACTTAGATAGTGTTAATGTTTAAAGTTGAAGACAGTATATAATTCATCAAGAACATTGGAATCCAGAATTAAACCTCAAATTTGACTGATTTACTATAGAACTAATAGTACGAAAATTCACCGGGCCGAGTCCAAGATAAGAAATGTCAAAAATGGGAACTGGTTGATGGATATGGATGAAACTTTGCATCAGTGTTGTGTTCATGAATAGAAGTCAGGAAAATAAAGGATTACCGAGTCTGCTACTGTGTCAGTAAGCAGGGAGAAGGGTACAGAGCTTTTGCATGAAGATTAACCACATTTTATTGAATTAAAACTGTAAAAATAAATTTAGAATTAAAAAATGAAATTTAAATTTTGTAAAAAGCAGTTTATAAATTGATAAATTTTATTTTTGCACCCTGTGTTAAGCAATATGCTATAAATCTAGCTTATTTTTATAAGATTTATATAGAAAATGATAATTTTTAGAGAAATGCATCTTAAATTATGGATAAATTATGCATTGAAGGAATTGGGGAGTGTGTGGTTTCAGATTGGTTACATTGGTAAAAAAAGTGATTGGCAAGCTCATTCCAGAGCTCTCTAAGGGGCCCAAGATTCACCGGCCATGGGATTCGAACAAGCACCATAGTAGCCTATTGCTCATATGGACCACACATTATATGTTTTGATGTTTCAGCAAAGGATTGATGCTGTAGTAATCAGTATGTAAATATTCACTATTGTCCTGTATTTTAAATGAAGAAGAACTAACAATTGAACAGGACAAATGTGATTTATATTTTGGAAATATAGGCATTTTCAGTGTAGTGAAACTTGATGTTTTGCTGTGTTGCAGAATGTATTTGCTAGTAATATATACACATAAAAGATTTTCTAGTTATTAAACAGTGTATTTTATGGATAATTGGCTCATTTAGAATAACACAGTTGATATAATTGTTGTTGTTGTTGTTGTAGCTGCTACAGCAGTTAAATTAGGTTAGGTTTATAATGTCTAAACTGCTATTTTCATGCAGGCATGCATTTTTCAGAACACAATATTTATATAAGCTCTCCTGTGTGAATTAGCAAATCTAGCCATTTATTAATTAGACATTATTTTCTTTCTTTTTCAGATATTAGAATTACAGCATAAATGCCCCTTATAATTTTCTTAAGCATGTACTAGTGTTGCATATTTTTCAGACCATGCAGTTACAAAAGCCTGGGTTTGAGTATATGACCTTACCTTATCCTGGTAAAGATCTATAGAAGGACTCCTTCAGCTCTGTTTGGCAGCAGCTTTGTCAGGACACATTGAGAAGGTAATAACTTATGTCTAGTTTGAAACTTCAGCTATTGGCGGTTAGCGCCTCTCAATGCTCGGGCAATATTTGGTAGTTATTTTGATGTATTTCAGGAGAAAATTTCTCTAATTCTGACTATATTAAGACTTCTCAATGATTTAAAGTGGGGACAGTATGTGTCATCTTTTTAAAGCCTTATTTGTGTGAGAGTTGGCTAATCTTACTTTGTCAGAAGACATAGCCCATGGTGATATGGTAACCTCTTTGCTAACTTTAAGATTACCTCTGTTTGTCTTTATTGATATCTTAAGCAAACAAGTAGGGTGTGTATGTTGGTTCTTTACTTTATTTACCATGGTATATAGGTAAAAATCATAATCAGTAAGTTTTATTACAATATTGAAGGAAAAAAATTTGAAAAAAAGCACATTTAATTTTGATTACTTGTATTTTAACCCAAAATTTCATGCTCTCATTTAAAGAAATTGAGTTTCTATTACAATTTTTAAGCAATAAGGTCTTATTCTTTCATAGAAGTAACTGTATGACATTAGCCGGTAACATTAAACTTTATTCAAAGAAAATCCATTTACAGAATCAAAAGATATGACAGAATTTGTAATATAAATTTTTGCGTAAAATTCTATTGGCCGAGCCTGACTTTTCGCATGAAGGTTCATATTTAAGAAATTGTACCGCATTAATGTAATTTGTTAGAGACATGTCAAACCTATATGACTGTATTTGTATAACACTTAATTACTAGGAAATGAGTATAAAGTTTGGCTTAACTTAAATTTTGGATTCATTTAGGTCTCAAAACCGGTACGGAATTAGACCCCAGCCCATTGTAGTCTAGAAAGTAGTTCTTTAAATTATGAAATGGCCCAATTTAAGTCATCTCTAGTTAGATTGTTCATAATTAAAGTGTATTTATTGCATGTGTGTAGTTTTTTGTGTGTTATATGATGACTTTAAAAGTTGTTTTTTGTGTATTCTCCAGGAACTCATTTGTTGGTGGAAGGATTAAAGATGTACTACCCACCAGCTGTCAGGAGTTTTTAAAGTGGTGAATTTAAACAGTGTTACAACAGAATGAAGATTTCTGAAAAAAGTAGATGGCTAACCTATTATATCTTGGGCATCATTTGACTTAGATAGTGTTAATGTGTTAAAGTTGAAGACAGTATATAATTCATCAAGAACATTGGAATCCAGAATTAAACCTCAAATTTGACTGATTTACTATAGAACTAATAGTACGAAAATTTCAACCGGGGGCCGAGTCCCATAGTGTAGTCAGGTACGGTTTGTCAGCGTACGGTATGGTACGGACATATACAGAACATTGTTGTGAAAGAGTTGTTTCCCCTTTATATTACATGTACGCCATTTGTTGCCGATTCTTTACGGCAATATTAATAAACTACAAAACTCATATATTTGTGTGTTTCTATACCGTTAAACCTTACTGGCGTTAAAATGACGTCCCACTCTCAAAATATGAATATAAAACTGCATTGATAAAAGGGTCCTAAATAAATTAATTAATAAATAAATAAATGAATGAATTGTTTATTTACTTTACGTGATTATAAATAAACATGATTTATCTACTTTTAGGACATATATTTTCCGCTGAAGTAATACTATTATTATGGTGTATAGCCGAATAATTATTGTAACATCTGTAATAGAACTCCATTTTTCAACACTTGTCAAATGATTTATTAATATAAATAAATGTTGAATTGTGGTTAAGGTGTCTGCCTCTCAGCCCAGGGACCAATCGGTCACGGGTGACGACCACGAATCCCTTTATTACACCAGTACTGGTTAGACTCAGGAAGTGGACTCAGGAAGTGATTTATATAATATAATTTGCAGGAACTTGTTTCGAAATTGAGCTAAAATAGATAATTATGTTTAACTGATTCATTTACAACGTTTTATAACATAATAGCACCTATGAAAACCACATTGATGAAAAAACCGAATCATTTAGAAATCTGCAAAAGAGTGTACCTAATGTACCCAAAACAGAATGGCTCTTTGGGAGTAGTTTTTCTCTATTTTATTGACACATCAGTGCTATGTGTGCCTTGTGGCGGCTGTAAAAAGTCTCCCCGTACATAAAGATGTTTTATTTTCGATCCTTCAAATTATCGTTCAGCATGACATTAAATATTGTTGTGTATTCATTTGGCCCTTTCCTACTTGAATACTGTATAATCACCCTAAGGGTATGTTTCCTGCTTTTTAAATTTGTCTTTTGACGTCTTGCTTATCTTGTGTTATGCAGGCTTCATAACCTAAGATCATTTATTAATTCATTTTATTTAATTCCGCCCATTGTTTTCCCGTTCAGGGTACACTCATTCTTTTACTTGGGGACCAAACGCCGCTTTTATGGAATGGCACTTCTGTGTCGCATTGAAGGTTCCGTGTTATACGCCGTATGAACATATCTGCGGATGTTTGTAAATTCAAAATTTCACCATTTCCATGTTTAAATGTTGAATTCTGTTTGAGCCGGTGCTAGGGAGCGTGAACGGTAACTTGCACTTTCCATTACCGTCCACGAACAGGCTCAATCAAACCGAGCCTGTAACATTTTCAATTTTGCTGTTTTAGACTATCTTTGCGATTTTGTTTTTGTCAATTTTAGTAAAAGTTTATTACATTCATACATCAACATTTAATCAATAACTGAACTATAAACAATCATGCAACTGCTAGCGAGAGGCGGTTATACCAGTATACAGGTCGGGCATTTATGAAGTGCATAAAGATTTTAAAACACCTATTATTATATAAGTAATATGGAGCAAATGTTAAATCCTATCACGCTGGCAGAACGCGGAAGAATGCTTCTTTCAAAATATTTCTTTTATCTAGAATTTTGACAAGTCATTCCTAATTTGATTAATCTGTGTAGTGTTTGATTGAAATGTATCTATTTCTTCTGTGTGGTGTTTGAGTGATATCTTGTGACTAAAATAATGTGTTGTGTATATTCTCCAGGACCCCATATCTGGTCATTCTGGAAAGATTATACACATATATTTGCTGCTCGCCAGCGGACAGAACATTTAAAACTGGGGAAAAAATTTTAGGGATGACCATCAAATTGAAAACTTCTAACACAACGAGATGGCTACCGTGTATTTTCGGGTCTCATTTTACTTGGATAGTGTTGATATTTAAAATTTGTCAAAAACGTATTTTTTCACCCTTATTATTCAATTTATCTGTTGGTTATTTTCTTCAGGTTTAGATTTAAAATAGCTGATGAAATATTGCTGGTGTTATTGACCATTTGTGTTATTTTGGCTACCTATAAATTGAATCATTGACATGTTGCTATGTTCTCCTGTTTACACAACCGAAACTTCTTTCATTTTATATCATTGCTAACTACATTGTATATATATGAACTGTATAACCTTTAAAACTTTGTTTTTAAAGTATTTGTGGAATCAATTAGGTGGATGCGTCGTCAGGTCGGCAACTACAAATTGTTCAAGATACTTATGTTATTGCAACTCTGATCGCGATGAATAATTTCCTGTTTGGTTTTGTTTATTATTAGGAAATTAACTTATATACCAAAGGAGCCTTTTTACTGCTTGAAAGAAACTAACATTGTACGTATGTCATTTTATTGGTGTGAAATCAATACATTAACGGCTCTGCTCTGTCCGTGTTGCGCTGGAAGCGTATTTTTATATGAAGTTAAATAGAAAATATATGACTACTGTTATGTGACAGAAGTCCAATCACGTGGCGATCATTTTTTCCCATAGTACATGAACTAGATAAAATCAATCTAACCATAACCTATTACTCATTAACTATCTTACGATATTGCGTTTTATTATCCCAAATGCAATCTGTTGAACCATTCCTCATTAAGTATTTTACGATATTGCGAATTATTACCCCAAATGCAATCTAATTCATATTGATAAGGGAGCTTGCCGTCAGCATAACACTTCAGTTTATTCAATAGTGAGTGACCATGTGACTCATTTTATCCAGTGATACTAGTGGAAGGAAAAACAAGCCGCGTCACGACAAAACCAACATAATGGGTTTGCGACCAATATGGACCCAGACCAGTCTGCGCATCCGCGAAGTCTGATCAGGAACCACGCTGTTCGCTATCAGTTTCTCTACTTGTTATAGAGTTGTAAGCGAACAGCATGGATCCTGATCAGACTGCGCGGGCTGGTCTGGATCCATGCTGGTCGCAAACGCTCTACGTTGGTTTTGTCGTGACGCGGCTCAAATGCACTTCATTCATTTAAAAAGAACAAAACGTTATGTGATATAAAACACTTATTACATTTTCATACCACATGATGTGATACATATATGAGAAACAAAATAAGCACATAATGTAGATGTATGTAATGAAGAGAAAACACATTATTATATGCAAACTAAATATATGCAAATAATACGAATGCTTCCAAAACGGAAAAATGTTTTTCAGAAACTAAATAAGCTCATATTGTAGATGTAATGTAATGAAGAATGAGAAAACACATTCTTTTATGCAAACTAAATACATGTATATGCAAATAATACGAATGCTTCCAAAACGGAGAACTGTTTTTCAGAAACAAAATAAGCTAATAAGTAGATGAAATGTAATGAAGAATGAGAAAACACATTCTTTTAACACTAAATAATATGCAAATAATACGAATGCTTCTAAAACGCATTAATATATATTTCAATTACTTTAAAGTAATTACAATTGTCGACTTTTTGAAAGTCAAAATTCAAACATTTCCCTAAAAATGAGAGATTGTAAACACATCACGCGACGGGAAAATTCCTTGGCGCGTATACAAAGTACTGCAATGAATAATTGTCAAATACAAGTATTCTTAAAAGACAATTCCTTCACCCGAGCTCAATGACAACACATTGTCATTGAACAAAGACTGAAGTCTGGGATTGATTAAGACAATGACATACCTCATTTTGTGCCCACTTAATCAAATACTTATATTGAAAAGACTGAGATAATTGCTGATATAACTTTACAAGAAATACATATAACGCCTATTTCAAGTAAAGGCAAGTTGTCCCACGTACCCACACAACCCACGAGTCATTTACATAAATGACATTAACAGACAAAAAACAATACAAAGTCATATAAAGCTTAAATATACATTCATACCATTTGGAAAGTGCAACTTTCAATTGTACATTTAAAATAAACCATGTACAATGTATTTGAAATACATACATGGTAGAACTTTGATCGCAAACGAAATATGTGGCACTATTTATAACATACATGGTAGAACTTTGATCGCAAACGAAATAAGTGGCACTATTTATAACATACATGGTAAAACTTTGATCGCAAACGAAATATGTGGCACTATTTATAACATACATGGTAGAACTTTGATCGCAAACGAAATAAGTGGCACTATTTATAACACAGACTCGTTCAGACCGCATTAAAAGATCAATACAGCCTGACTCCTAACATTACATGCAAAATTTCTAAATATCTTTTTTGAAACTCTTGAATCTAACTTAGTCCAAATTCAAAATTGGATCTCGCAATACCGTTGAAGAAAGAATTCAAAATGCTCCTCTATAGTACATCGCCAATAAGCTATATGTTTCTATATGCACATTTATACGAAAGTCTCCGTTTCATGACATAAAAACTAACAAACAAAAAAACGGTAAAATGTGTTTGATTGATTTGTTGATAACTGCTCTAAGACAAAAATCAGAAAAGCAGAACCACAATATGGCTACAATTTATGATAAAAATTCTCTTTTCGCCATGCTCAATACTTTATGCAATAGCTTTGTCACAAAAGTATTTATCATGTACTTGTACTTAGTACATGGGTTACTTATGGAATCGATTTGTTTTTCATAATAATGACAACTTTGGCATAATCATTATGTCTGTATGGACGATTGTGTTCACTGGTTTGATATGATGGTTTATTATCTAAGTCAGGGCGAACGATCAAGTTGCCTGGCTTGATATGATTGTGTATAGTTTATGTCCTGTCCGAGTGGACGATTAAGTTGTCTGGCTTATTATTTAAGCCAGAGCTAACGATTAAATTGCCTGGCTTGATATACTGGTTTAAGCTGTCTTGCTTGATATGAGGGTGTATAGTTTATGTCCGAGGGGACGATTAAGTTGTATGGCTTATTATTTAAGCAAGAGCTAACGATTAAGTTGCCTGGCTTGATATACTGGTTTAAGCTGTCTGGTTTGATATAAGGGTGAATAGTTTATGCCTGAGTGGACGATTTATTTGTCTGACTTAATATGATGGTTTATTATCTAAGCCAGGGCGAACGATTTGAAAGTTGTCTGGTTTGATATGATGATGTATAGTTTATGTCCGAGTGGACGATTAAGTTGTCTGGTTTGATATGATGAAATATAAATTAAAGAAAGACATTTGATTAACAGAGTTGTATAGATGATACATTAAATGGCCTCCACTGAAGTTTTGACCAGAAAATAACAAGCGTTAAAAGCTTTTCACTCAAAGCCGGCTAAAATCGTGCAAAAATCGATTTTTTAAGTTCAACTTTTGAGTACTAGTATATTTCTTTATTATCTTTTGTTGATGTTTTCATTTTAAGTGGATCACTTGATCTATGCAAGAATTTTTCATTTTTTTAGGCTTTTTGACCTCAGTGGGGCTCCTTTAAAAGTAAAAGTACAGAGAAAACCCTGTAAAAATAAATAAAAAAGGTCTTATATACACTCGGTCTTATACATGTAAATACACTCGTATATGACAGAAAAAATTAATTACCTAACAGAAAAACAACAAAGAATAAAATAGCATGTTCTACATTCATAACTAAGAATGACGTAAAATATGAAAAACAAGATCAACAAGGAAAGGCGGCGTTCAATGAACGCAACCCCCATATGACCCAGCAACAAGAACCAATGGCAAGGAGCCCAGGTGGACCCCAAACAAAAAATAAATGTGTGCAATGATTTAAGAGCTGTATTTCTTGCTGTCATGAATTTCCATTTTCACTGAATACTCGGAATAAGTTCGTGGAAATGGTCCCTAGAACATTTATAGTCCACACATTTGTATGACTCTACTTCACAATATAATGTATTTCAGGGTTAATCCTCCAACTTCCTATTTCACATAAATTTCAGTCCCAATAGATGTACCGGTAGCTCTTGACCTCCGTCCAATAACCTCCATAGCAATATAAAGCACAACAGACAGAATGCATGTCGCTGTAGTGAAAATAATTTTTGACATCATACATAACATGTTTGACAACGTGAACACAATGATTCCAGCAAGTCCTTGTAGAACCCGACAACATCCGAACGCAGTTTCATATCTATCAGCAAACAGTGATGATATTAAACCTGTAATTAAAATTACGAAATGTTAAAATTGTAAGCAATAAGCACGAACTAGTTGTAATTGCTTTATAGTAAATAAATCTTTATGATATTTAGCACTTTTTTATTTTACTGTAAGTCTGGCACAAAACAGATTAGATTGTTGTAATTGAGTATGTAAATGAGTAAAGAGGAGGCCCAAACTGGCGATATTAAAGGGACTACACTGACGGTTTTTTTCTTTTTTTAACATGACGGGACTGGGAATATTTTTTCCGAGATTTGATGTAGATCTGAACCAATAACTACCTGCTAAACTTCAAATCATGTTTTCATCCTGTTTTTTCCCCATTTTAATTGTGCAAAATTACCCCATTAACTTAAAATGGTTGGAACCCTATTACAATGTACTAGTAACTCAAATTGGGCTATGAATGGCACTACATATCCATTTCAATTTAATACTAAGTGTATTTTTTATTTACTTCCCTTTGCAGATTTTTCCATCTTAAGTGCTTTTCTTAATCTATGTAAAGTTTTCAATTTCTATGCGTTTAGGTTTTTAGACCTCAGCGGAGCCTCTAAATCTCTATCTAGTAAAACAATAGTTGATAAAGACATGTCGGATTTTGCCGGAGATCAAATGACACAAAAGAATTTCTCAACGGTCACTACGGTCAAACTTCATTTAACAACCATGTAGTCTGAAATCTAAATTCAGTAACAAACTAATTTTCGCGTTACGCTTAATAGTACAGTTATTTTTAATTTAAAAAAGATTTACTCATAGGTTACCTTTATATCAACAACTCGTATAATATTTAAGGGGTATTTAATTTATTTTAATGCCGTGACATTTAATCAATTAGTAATAATAATAAGTTCAGGCTTACTATTAATCTGAGACTGCCAAATGCCGTCTGCAAATCCCCAAGCACCAATGAAAGCAAACAACAAGTATTGGTCGTCACTAGATGGTTCCCAAACCGCCATCAACGCAAGTGAGGTCACATTCAACGCAGACGCTACAAAGTAAAAATTACATCATTTCAATACCGTGAAATTCATATTAAAAAAAGGATTAAATTAATTTGAAGTAAATGAACGCTTACCACCGAGCTTGCAAAGATTAAAGTACCGTCGACATAGGGATGGCAACTGTCCTACCTGAAAACTGAAACACAATAAACCTTGTAACTTACCTATATGTTTATATCCCTGCTTGGTCGAAGAAAGGGGCAAAAGAGTAACGGCATGTGATCGAATTGAATATGAACTAGAGTACCGGACAAAGTCGGATCAGTATACGCCCGAATGCAAATTTGTTTGAGGAATCAAGCACCATACTGGGAGAGATACAGATTATGATGATTCATGAAATCTAAATGATCCTCATGACAGCTGCAAGTGACAAAATACTGTCACAAAAGCTTTCTATTTAAGACAGTGGTGGTCAAACAGCAGATAAAGCTACCAACTGTTTCTCTTGCTTTCCAATAAAAATTATCATGTATTCCTAAATCTGAATAATTCAAAGAAAAATGAAAACACTACTTGCTGCGCGTGTATAAACTGAACAGCTTACAATCATTTCGTCATTTCACTTAAACAGATACCTTCACTACGCCCCTTTACTTCCCGATAGGGTATTCACATACCTGCAAGGGTAATCTATTCTAAAAATAGATCAACAAAGTACTTACAGAGTATTCTCCTTTTGATATACATATGTATACCTTAATCAGGATTTTAAATGACCTTTACCTTGATTTGAGGAAGCCAATCGTTCTTTTCATATTGATTTACATTTCTGCCAAAATAATTTTAAGATCCTTCCGTCGGTTCAAAAGATACAAAGTGAGGAGGCCCAAACATTGCCTCATGGTTTACATTTCTGCCATGTAGTTTCAATGTCTTTCCAGATAAAAAGCAGGCACGAAATTACTAACGAACTGCAGAACGGACGGACGGACGACCTTGTGCATAACATCATACGCCGAAATTCTTTCGGGCAGATTACAAGGAAATCCTTTTGCCGGATAAAAATAGCTTAATGCAATCACTTTAATGTGTGTCAAATAAAGCCCAACGCTTTATTCTCCCTGTGGAATCATATACATAATGGACCTTTGCAAAGGTAGTGTAACATTGGTAAGTATGTCCTTAAGTGATTTAAGAATCATATTGTGTTGTGACTTGGAAACGTGTGGGCACATACGCTTACTCGTGCAAGATACTGAACATTTTGGAGACTGCGTTCCATGCAACTCACTCTCCTTGTTGATCATTGTATTCTTTTTATTTTCTTTGGCTCTTTGGCGAAAGACTCTCGCATCGTCACATTTTATTTCATGTCAAATAGAAATATCATACCTTGGTAAACAATCTAACACTCGATAAGAGTCACATCTCTTCATCATAGTTAACCTATGACCCCTTCGTAAAGGTGCAAACACTACATTGAGTGCACAAACTCATCACACTAACCAAATCCTTTCGTCAATATGCCACCAGTTGATCATCGCCCGACTGTTATTTTGGACAATTGAAGATTAAGTAACAGTAACTTGGTTACTTAATTTAAACCACTGAAATCAAATGATCAAAATTAACTTGCTGTCAATCAGGAATTGGCCTTGCCTCGTCTGATGGCGCTGTAAATGATATAATCAAGTATTAGGTATCATAATATATATATAATCAACATGGGAAGTCAGAATTGTCTAACCCTATTGATCTTACATCTAAAACTACAATACTTTATCAGTGTATTTCAACACTTTCTTAGCCTGCTATTGATTATTGGTAAACTTATTATTCCATTCTATCCCCCTGAATTATCTACAATTTACATTTATCAGAATGTACATATATTTACATTGGCCAACATTTCAATATATCAATGTACAGTCATAAACGCCGTACTCACCCACTATAAATGCTGCCAGGTTGCCTGTACATTTAGCCAGTTTCCCAAATATGTAAGAACTAATTGAGCCGCAGATTCCAAAACATATCATCGAGTATCCTACCATTCTCACACCAAGTGGACATGTAACTTATGCCTAAAATGATTCATATTTGTGATATATATTTGTTTATTTTTTGTTGTCACGGGAGACTTTGTTCAGGTAAAATAATGCCAATGTGTGTATTTCATGTACATTCGCACATACAGGATAAAAAAATCAAATTTCTAACATATTTAAGAAAAATTATGACGTGTCAGTACTTTTCATCTCTATATAATTGAATAAATAATAATTATAGTTCAAGTAAAACAGAAAATAAGAATCCGTACAGATAGTCCAAAACAAAAACAAAATGAAAATATTGCAGGTTCGGTTTGATTGAGCCTGCTCATGGACAGTACTACAGTCCACTCCCTTAGCATCGGCTTAAGCAGAATTCAACATTTAAATATGAAATGATAAAATTTTAATTAAACCGAAGACTCAAACATACACAAAGATTCAATTTAAGAATGCACGATTTTACAGGTTATTCTTGCCATAAAATGGAGCTAAATAAAACCATTACCTTGAGGACGTCTGCAACAACAAAACCATTGCTAATTACAGTGTAGAGGCACAGCATTACGATAAAGCAAAACTTAGGGTCTATCACCATAGCAACAACGGATCCTGCTTGTTTCAAAGATTCCCTCAGAGTTAAACGATGTGGTGTATAGTTTGGAAGTTTGTCCAAAAAGCACTGAATGACCAAAATGGATAGAACTGCGCAACTGGAATATGTCCCAAGTAAGAATAGTTTATCGAGATCGTCAACATTTGATTTTGACTCACTGTCAGAGCTCAACTCACAGTGGGCAGCACCACATTTACCCTTGGCCACTGCTTCGTTAAAGTTTATATCCGTTAACTCGGTACCGGTACCATTTGAGATGAATTCGTAGATAATTGTTGATGCATTGTTTATATTTTCAGTTATTGCACGATCGTCTTGATGCAGTTTCATTCTTTTATCCGACTGTGAAAAGATTATAGAGGATATAAGATTTCCGAGAACCATTGACATCTGCAGCACCAGGAAAAAGATGCCAAAGTAGCGGCTTAGTACACTGCTGGTGATCTTTCTCTTCAGAAAAGCTTCGTCGAGTCCCAGCTCCGTGATGTATGTGCACAGAGCATTCCATAACAAGGCATTGCTTAAACCATAGATAACTGAGGCAGGAATGATAACATAGAAGCTTGGGAAATAGGTAGCAACAACGTAAACTAAATGCCCGAAACAAGATACAGACATACATAGTTTTGGTTTATATCTTTGAACAATAAATGGACTTGCCAAACTTCCAAACATAAAGGCTCCGAATAGCGTTGCTAGTGAGTAGACACCAAGTCCACCTTCACTATTCATGCTGCTCTGCAGATTCCGGAGGCCAAATATTGCAATATGTAACAATGTTACGCCGGTACTAAGTATCAGCAAATTTTTTGAGATTTTTCGACTTAACAGGGGCGGCAATGTCAATCGTTTTGTCATCATTGGTGAACTTCGTAGATTCGCCAAACATGGATTTATCAAACTGCATACTGCCTATCTTTTCCCTAAATATTCTAGACAATAGTCTGTCCTGTCCAGCAGATAATGGATTGAATCCAAGGCGCTCGACTGTGTTAGAGTGATTCTTGTAAACATCACCTGACCCATAGATGCTACAGACACTCCCAAACTCCCATCCGCTTCCAAAAACATTAACTGGATTGGTTTGAACTACCTCAAAATCATGCACAATAGAGTAGGCTATACTTAAATCAGATCCAAATATTTATGTCCTCTTCGTTCTTAATGTTTTCATTTGTCTCGTCAACATTGACAGTAATTTGGTTATCATTTTGCACGACATTCAAACTGGTTTCCGAATTTTTATTCATCTCGGTCTTTTCAAAGACATCGACTCACTAATTCAGAGGGCTAACGCCAGGTTAAAGTTTGTAAAAGTGTTGAACAAATCATGTTATGTCATTTTTTTAAGGTTAAAAACCTTATGGCCCCAGAGTACTTAAGCGATTGTTTTGTTTCTCAGGAATCTATGCATTCTTATTGCACCAGACTGAGTAAAAAAGGAGGGTATTGTCTTCCTAAGGTTAAAGGTTCCTGGTCAAAGTCTTTTAGTTTTATTGGTGCTAAACTATGGGACAGTCTTCCAACTTGTATGACTGAAAATATCAAATTTTATCCTTTTTTTTGAATAGCGTAATCTATGGCATGTTCTATCCTTACATACTCATAACAACTGTGATAATTTTTTTAATGTAATCTTTTCTTAATATGCACATGATCTTTTTTTAATGTGAAACTGACTTTTTATTTACATTACCTTACATTTTAAATTGTGATAATTTTAATGATATCCTTCATGTGATATTTGCTTATAATTAGTGATATTTTCTTTTTCTTTTATGAAATACCTCTCTTTGTCATGCCACCAAATGCTAAGGACCACAATGGAAATAAGAGCTTGTTATCCTTGGTTTTGGGAACATGTCATGGTTTACATAATATAGTATTTATTCATTTATTTATTCATTCATTCATTCATTTATTTGTAATTGTTTTAATCTATATTGTGTTTGTTTATCATGTAACATGTTTACCTTTATGCCGAAATAAATCTATCTATCTATCTATATATTTATCTTGTTTCTGGCAGTTTACTCTCGATTGGTTTGTTTACAACAAGAAGAAACGGAGTGTCACTATTCCAACTTCCGTTATCAGAGTTATCAAATGTTTCGTAATGGACAGTGTCTTTGTTTGAAGATGGAACAGTCCAAGATTCCCCATCTTTTGACTGCGCACAAAACTTGAGTTCTTCTTCATTGTCAAATGGAATTCCATTATTAAAAAACTATCAATATGGGAACATATGTAATAAATAAATGAATAAATAAACATATAAATGAATGAATGAATGAATGAATGAATGACTATCGAATTGTTTATTTACTTCACGTGATTATAAATAAACATGATTTATCTACTTTTAAACAGTATACTCAAACTTGAGGAATATTTTCTTACTGTACATTTTGGAACATCAGCAGATACAAAAAACACATTGAAACTATTACCAGCTAAAGATCGACTCAACCCGATCATTTAAGAAAATCGTATTAACGGGATCACCGTAGGGAACGTGTTACAGTATCGCGCTTTCATGTTACAGTATAGAATTATCAAGATGGAGGGTTATTTGTGGGGAAGACAGGTAGGTGATTTTTATTCCAGTCCATACTACAAGGAGTTTATTTTCTCCCGTGGTGGAGGGGTTAGAGTCGATGACTTCTAATCCAGTTACCTCTCTGGTGTGGGTTTGAGTCCCGGGAGATGCTTTGGTAGTTTAGCACGGAGGACGGTTGTCTAGTACTGATGTTACTCTCCAGGAACGATGGTTAGGAAATTACCCGCCTAAATGACTGAAATACTGTTGGGAAAAGGCGTAAAATGAAACAAACAAACATTCTAAAAGATGGGATATCAGATCAGGAGCTAGGGAGATTAAACCCAAAACCGAGTGTGTCATAAACATTGCTCTGCTTTAATCACGGTCTTTCAAACAAAATGATCTGGAGTCGGACCAAATTAACGAAAAAAAATGTCTTGGTTAAATCACTTGATTAGGTTATCTACCGACCGTCACGTGACCTGGCATAGTACATCACCATTCAAAAATCAAATTATAATATAATGTTTTGTTAATTTGATAAAAAAAAATTTCTATATAGAACTAATGCTGGCTGAATAACATTATCTGTTTTTTACGTTAAAATGTAACACTGTAATAGATTTTCAATGCAATTAGGAATTTTTCGTTCCCGGCGTCAAGGTTAAAATCTCCGGTCATATTTGAAAAAAAAACGTCAGAGTTTCATAAGCTATTTTTTAATTTATGCATTGTTCAATGTCAAAATAGATATTAATTTTACAGAGAATTGTTTCATTAATCGTATCATGTAAAAAGTTAATAATATTTCACGATGATATTTACAAATTTGATGTTTAATTTGGTGCATTTTCATAATACCGTCGTTTTTTGGCAAATATTGTAAAAAGCAATCTTTGTTTTTCAACCAATATGTCTTTCAAAACATTATTTTCTGAAATATTTATCCCTTTTTCACACTGTCCCGAAATTGACACTAGATGGGCATACGAATATGGAAGTTTAAATTTCGCTCGAAGATGGCCCCGATATTAGACGACAGCCAATCAACAGCCGCACCAAGTACGATCCCTACAGAATGTCACGCCATCGTTTCCAATCCACACACGATTCCTACCGAAGTTCACGCGATGGCATCCGATTCACACACTAAGTCACCCTAAAGATGCATTTTTTAGCAAGAAGTTTACCCGCAGGACATGCGATAGGTACACGACATCGTATTTTCAATACGATGCTTTTGTACATGGTTACGAAGGCGCCATATGACCTACGGGAGATATTAAACCTTCGGGCAACCGCGACAATTTCAGTTGCTGATAGTATTGGGTGCACAGCTAAATTTTATTTTAAATTTAATAGAACTTTATCATGCCACCAAAGGTGGACCTGCCAGAGTTTCTTATCTGTTTTCTAAGGTGTATCAAAAGAAGCAATTCTGCTGCCTTCTATTTCTATGTTAAATCATAATAAAAATATGTCATTCTACCGGAAATAAGGTGAAAATAATTGTTAATTAATTGTAAATATTATAAGCTTTTGAAGGTTTTGTAGAGATGTGCGGGATTGACGTCGACAGATAAGAAAGATGGTCTGAGGCTAGCCTTTAAATATATGTCTACCATGATGCACATGCAACGCTTGAGCCACTCAAATTTGCTTTCTTCGTCCACATTGTGGTCCCATATCGATTTCAACATACCAAAATACGATGGCGACACAACGGTATTGCAGGGGTTTCACGTAGTCGTATTGCCTTCCTTACACAATCGGTCATCTCCTTCGTATTGTCTTCTTGAGGTAAAAAATGCCAGATGGCACCTATGATCACACGAATAAAATACGAAGACTACACGATTTGACAAAATGGCTTCACGACGGCCTTACAAAGCGCAAAATTGACATACGAGTGCAACACGAAAATGAATCTTCGCAATGTCTTCCGGCATCTTTTTGGCCTGCCAAATATTTTGCGACCGCTCACGAAGTTGCTGCCGGAGCATAACCCATTGAGTTAGTTATCTAATTGATTATAAATCAAAGTAACTGACCTAAACCACAGGACCATTTCACTCAAAACTAGATCTAGTTCTGACAAAAAAATATACACACTAATATAAAACTAGCTTCCGGTCTAAAGGTTCTTATTCATTAAATATTTAAATTGCTCAAACGAGTTATACATGCATAGAATGAGAAAACATGTCAAAACTATGATGAAGATTTACCTTCACTTTTGCTTCTCTTTGAATTGTCTGAATGGCCGTCAGAACCCTTCTAATTATTGTATTATATGACAAATACAAGTATATGGTGTGACCAAGATTACATATTTCTTCAATGCAGCAATTATTCATGATAGAATAGAAGAGACAGATTAACATTACTTTCTATTGTAGTATTCATTATTTCGAATATGATTTCAGATGTAGGTTATGCCCGACAAAGCTGAATCAGTTACTGTGAATTCACTTAAATTCGTGGGCATGAAATTTCGTGGTTTTATCAAAAAGGGCATTTTCGTGGGTTCTTAAATTCGTGGATTTTCGTTTTCTTGTTAAAAAAAATTCAGTAACCTAATGCAAAATAATCTTAAACTTAATCGCCGAACATTTTTACTTACAACATGTACATATCTTTACTTGTCACACAGCGCTTGTCAATAAATTTAATCCTTGCCTCTGGGCATAAATTATATAGCACAGTTACTGCCGATAATTGACTGCAATTAACACATTTATGTGACATGATATGCACCTCCATTGGACACACTGCCCCTGTAATTCGCCGATGTAAACATCGCATACTTTATACAACAACTGGCAGGTTTATAACCAGCGAGTTTAAAAGTTTACACCCTGAATTGGTCTTAACATATTTGACAGTAACTACACGCAACGTCACAGCGACTGTGTAAATTTACATGCATATAAATTAATCTCGGTAAATAACACGAGTATGTGTGGATCTTGTAAAAGTCGGTGGCGTCTTTAATGTTGACGGAATAGCATTCGCACAAATAAAGATTAAAATTCATATAAACTGGATCATTTAAATCGACAAAAGAATGTACATCGAGTGATCGTATTTTTTTTTATAGTTATGTGTACTTACGACATTAATATCAAAGACTTTTTCTTAATAAATTAAATTTTTATCAGCGCTAATTATTGCGCTGCCTGGGTTCACATATTTACTCGATTATGTCAAGTATTCTTGTTGACACAATCAAGTCCTAGTAGACTACAACGATCACGTGAGCCTCATCAAGTACGTATATGCGACATATGTGACAGTAAATTGAGGACATATAATCGAGTTTTCTTTCAAGTTTCTTAAATATTGTAAACGGATTTAATATGTCACTAACCTGATTATCTGTATGTATATACATCCATTTAACGAAATATCGGCCGGAAAAGAGCTGACGCATGTTTATATAGAACAAAGACTGGGTAAAAAGTATTTGTTGGGATAAAAGTTCGTGGGATCTTAAATTCGTGGATTGACCTACCCACGAAAACCACGAAAATTTGTGCCCCACGAATAATAATGATTTTACGGGGATTGTCATTGAAGAAAAGGGAATATATGTAAAACAAAATATAAATTTGTCTCTAGGTATATAGATTTATTATTTAAATGATACAGAAAATAATCAAAAAACGCACAACTTCACATAGCAAAGACATTACAAATTGCAAAACCTATATGCTATTTTATATGTAAAAGATGTTTGCAATATTTAAAAGGTTGATTTATTACAATTCAGAAATTTACATACTTCATTTAATTGGGTTCTTGTGTGTTGGATGGAGGTACAAACCATACAAACATTGCCTTTTAATGTCATATAATGTCTTTTTTCCAGCTTTAAGATGTATATCCGTGCCTTCCGAGATATGTCGATAGTGAGACTTGAAAGGCACTAAATGCCTTTAACATGTAATATATGTATAGATTTAACCTCCATCCGATAGTTCTCTGCTAGTTGGATAGCTTTCTCATATGAAATAACCCATTGAGTTAGTTATCTATCAAAGTAACTGACCTAAACCACAGGACCATTGAGACTCAAAACTATTTCTAGTTCTGACTTATATAAAATTAGCTTCCAGTCTAAACAAGTATAATATGTATGTCATTTAACAAAATGTAAAGCAATGAGTTCTCAAGGGTTGCACTACCAAAAATGGCACATATAAAATCTAATTTAAAAAAACAGATTTAGTGTATTTTCATTGATTCTCAGGAGGAAACATTTGTGAATTTTTTATTTCTTCATCAACTGTGACAATAATATTGCATATACTAAGCGGAAACATTTTTCCTACTAACGGTAGGTCAAATATCGCACTATCTCGCTTTATCGGTTGATTGCTTGTATTTTTTAGTTTCATTTATTACCTTGCATCTGACAAGAATCATTTAAATAATCAAAACACGTCACACATTACGAGGTAATATTTATATCTATACAGTTAAACTATGATTTATTTTCAATTAGCTGTTAGTTCATGATAATATAACATTTTATAAACAACATTTATTGTGTAACAGTATATTGTCGTTTTCACAGTAGAAATACACAAAAGAGAAAAAATGGCAAAAGTGTTTTGTAACAAGCACAAAAGTGACGTCATGGTAATTTCAAAATTACGTGAGTCAAATAAGCTGGATAAATATGCACTACATTAAATAGCGTTTGCAATAAAAACAACATTAAACTAAGAAAGAATTATACTGAGGCAGCATAGCAAAGTTTAAAGGTTTCACAAATAAAAATGTAAATTCAAAATAAATAAACTTGTTGGAGAGATAACCCCAACATTTCTTCCTAATATCTTAAATTTTGATCCATCATAACAAAGTTAGGTTCAAAGATTTATTAACAAAAAGATTATATTTCATAAAAATGGAGACTGGTTCTTCTGAAGTTCCTGAATGAGGAGGTATCACGTGCTCTTTTTACCCCAGGACAGAAGATAAAGTCAACGCATTCATCTTTTAGTAAAAATATAGCATGGAAATCATAGTCATTTTTTCAGTCAAATGTAAAAGAAATAATATACAGTTTATTTATAGGTTATAGCATAATAACAGTTATTAACTTATTAGAAGTAAACGGAACTTACTTGCATGCATAAAAGTGGACGTTATGTTCCTTCAATAATAAGAAAAATTAAACAGACAAGACTGTAAGAGTTATATTTGCTTATAAATACATTATGATGAACGCAAAACCTTACACATTATCTTGTGAGTTATAATTTCAGAATGTTTCATAATTGCATACCTTTACAAAGATTAAATATAGATAGAATATATATTTAAAAAATCATCTGGAATATAGGGCATAACGCACATATATTAAAATAAGTATTAACAAAGTAACAAAAGTTAAAATCTTATCTATAAACAACATCAGTTTGCATCAACATTTTTACACTGTAAATTTAAAATAATATGGTCATGACATATCTTTTAAATATCGCTCAATTGAATTAAGTCTTTGCCAACAAAAAATGACGCTGAAAGAATTGTTAGCTTGTTAGCTTTACATTATAGAATTATAGCCAGGACTTAACCAACCAAAAAAACAAGAGCGACCAGTGATCCAATATGTCGCTTGATGATAAAAAACTTAAGCAGTTCTATTGACGGGACGACTGACTAGTGTTTCCTCTATCTCCATCCAATTACTCTCTACTAGTTGGATAGCTTTCTCATATGAAGTGACCCGTTGAGATAGTTATCTAATTGATTCTAAATCAAAGTAACTGACCTAAACCACAGGACCATTGAGACTCAAAATATATCTAGTTCTGGCAAAAACAAATTTTACACACTTATATAAAATTAGCTTTAAGTAAAAACAAGTATAATATTTATGTCATTTAATAAAATTTCAAGCAACGAGTTCTCAGGGTGGCAATACCAAAAATGGCACATATAATATCTCATTTTTAAAATATCAGATTAAGTATATTTTCCTTGATTCTCAGGGGAAACATTTGTAAATCTTTTATTTCTTTATCAACTGTAACAACAATATTGCAAATACTAAGCGAAATACGTTTACTTCTAACGGTGGGTCAAATATCAAACGACGTTCTTATACTATCTCATTATATCGGTTTTGTGTTTTTTAATCTAGTTAATACCTTGCATCTAGCAAGAATAAGTCAGACCCATGAAAAGAACAGTCAAATTACGTCACACATTACGAGGTATGGCCACCCTGTGTTCTATTATTTATATCTATACAGTACAACTATAATTTATTTTCAATTAGCTGTTAGTTTATGATAAGATTACTAACATTTTATAAACAACATTTATTGCGTAAATGTATATAGGTATTCAAATATAAGGCTTTCAAAGTAGGATTTCACAAAAGAGAAAAAATGGCAAAAGTGTTTTGTAACAGGCGCAAAAGTGACGTCATGGTTATTGCAAAATACATGAGTCTAGTAAGCTGGATAAATTTGCACTACATTAAATAGCGTTTGCAATAAAAACAACATTATACTAAGAAAGAATTATACTAAGGCAGTATAGCAAAGTTTTAAGGTTTCACAAACAAAAATGTAAATTCAAAATAATATTTTTGTTGGAGATAACTACGACATTTCTTCTTAATATTCACGGAAACTGGTACTTCTTTAAGGTCCTGAATGAGGTACCACATGGTCTTTTTACTTCAGGACAGAAGATAAAGTCAACACTTTCATCTTTAAGTAAAAATGAAGCATGAAAATCATTTTCAATTTTTTTCAGTCAAATATAAAAGAAATAATATACAGTCTATTTTTAGGTAATAGCATAATAACAGTTATTAGAAGTTAACGGAACTTACTTGCATGCATAAAAGGGGACGTAACAGTCAATGATAAGCAACATTAAAAAGACAAAACTGTAAGAGTTATATCTTATATCTGCGTATAACTACATTATGATGAACGCCAAACCTCACACATTATCTTGGTAGTAATAATTATAGTATATTTCATAATTGCAAACCTTTACAAAGATTAAATAGATAGAATATATATTCAAAAAAATCATCTGGAATATAGAGCAGGGCACACATATATTAAAATAAGTATTAACAAAGTAACAAAAGTTAAATACATACATATCTATAAACAACATCGGTTTATATCAACATTTTACACAATAAATTTAAAATATTATGAACATGACATATTTTTTTAAATATCGCTCAGTTGGTTTAAGTCTTTACCAACAAACAATGACGCTGAAGGAATTGTTAGCTTGTTAGCTTAACATAATAGAGTTAAAGCCAGGACTTAACCAACCAAAAAACAAGCTTAAGAGCTACCAGTGATCCAATATGTCGCTTGATGATAGAAAACTTAAGCAGTTCTATTGATGGGACGACTGACTAGTGTTCCCTATATTTTAATGTATAGCATGACAAAAGTTTCCAAAACGCTTTTTTTAGTAAAGTACCATAACCCAGCCAAAAATCTTTTAATTGAAATACTCATTGAGTGTTCGCAAGTATTAGAGGTACAATGTATTAATCAATTTAAAGTTTACCTGAAACTGCATTAGTTTTGTGATGAACAGACAGAAAAACAGACAGACGACAAAGAAGTAATTCTTCTAAGTCTTGGCTACTTCATATCATGTATCAGCTTCTGTGTAGCAGGCAACACCAACAACATTAACGGGCCAAAACGCCTTTTTTACTCAAGGACAATAACTCAGTCAAAAATTATGCAACTGGAATCAATGTACCGGTAATATGAGCAATTACTGAAGCTACCAGTCACTCATGTAATGTTTCAGCCAAATTGCATTACGAGTATAAGAAAAGAAGTCCTGGCTAACTTAGAAAATAAACATTCATGTAAATGCCTTAACAGACAATTATTACTAAGAAATTAGAATTGCTTTATACTGACTATTCTGTAAAGATGGGATCAAATTGCAGCAGTAGTTTTTGAGATGTCCAAACAAGTTTTGCGACAGACGGACAGACGACGCAGAATTGATCACTTTATGTCGCCGCTTCTCTGTAGAAGGCAACACAAAAAGAAGTGAATGTAAATTATCTATATGCTTAATAATGTGCCTCTTACAAAAAATAATCTAATGTGATCTTGACACATTGAGTGTAGATGTCAATGCAATTTACTTTTAAACAAGTAATCAAACATATAACTACAAAATGTATATGAATAATATACAAATCAGTCAAATAATAAATATTCACATAATTGAGAAGATGTCTTTATACAATGGTACACATAATATATATAAATGACAGGAGCAAAACGAAGATTTAACAACATTTTCCTAAGTGAGTGCATATAAAATCAAGTTATCCCTAGGGCATGCGTGGCTAGATGATGAGTCTATTTAATACCTTGATTTTTGTTTTTCGTTGACTACAATAAATTGTTCAAAACATAATGAAAATTTTTATTGACTGAATTTTTATGACCTCAAAGTGCGGTCGTTTGTCTGATGTTAAAAATGCGTTTGTACCTGTTGAACCTTAAGCAGAATTCAACATTTAAACAGTAAAATTTTGAATTTAGAAACATCCGCAGATGTGTTCATACGGCGGTGATCATGAAACCTTCAATGTGACACAGCAGGGCCATTCCATGAAAAGCGGCGTATGGTCCCCAATTAAAAAAATACGTGTGCCCTAATACATGCATGAAAATTTCAGACTCGGTTCGATTGAGTCAGTATATGAGGATAATGACAAAATGCAACATCTCTCACAAAAAAGAGAAAAACAGAATCCCTAAAGAAAGTTCAACATTACAAAATTGAAAATGTTGCCGGCTCGGTCTGATTGAGCCCGTTCATGGACGGTACTGGAAAGTGCAAGTTACCGTCCACGCCCTCTAGCACCGGCTTAAGCAGAATTCAACATTTAACACGAAACTGGTGAAATTTTGAATTGAGAAACATCCGCAGATGTATTCATACGGCAGTTATCATGGAACCTTCAATGTGACACAGTTATGCCATTCCATGAAAAGCGGCGTATGGTCCCCAAGTAAAAGAATGCTTTTGCCATAAACGAGAAAACAATGGGCGGAACTAAATAAAATGAAATTTTGAAAGAGGACCAGAGGTTATGAAGCCTGCGTATCACAGATAAGACGTCAAAAGACACATTTAAAAAGCAGGCAACATATCCTAAGGGTGATTCAACATTATTCAAGTAGGAATATTGGAACCACCCAACTAGAAAATGCCGAAAAGTTGAAACTAAAATACCACAAAATATAACATCATTGATTAAATGTGCGGGGAGACTTTTTACAGCCTTTTTAAGTTTTAACTGTAAAAGAAATTATCTATGTCATGCTTTACTTCAAAGACTCAATAAAGGCATGATTCATATTATACTTAATCTTGAATATAGCTCTAATTGATATATTTTGTTAAATATTATAGTTGTAATTGAAATATATTAAAAAGAAGATTACTTCCATAGTACAGAAAATGTTCACAAACATTTAGATTATACGTTTTAAAACTTAATTTACGTGTTTCTCGGGCAAACTTTTTCTAAGTCTTGTTGTTATCAGCTTCGATGCGAGATATTCGTTCTTCCAATTTTTCTAACCGTTCATTAACTCCGTCAAAATGTGATTTTAACATTCCACTAACTTGTTGCAATAGTGCATGGGTTGCGGAATGTGTTGTGAACGGTTTAAATTGTTTTACCTTCAGTTCATCAAGTATAGCATTTATTGGGGTTACATAGCCTGAGTTACCTGACGTTACTGCAACAACCATACCAATGCATCTTGGAGTTGTTTCCTCTCCAGTATTATCCTCCATAAACACAAGAGCTCCAGAATCTCCTAGTTTGCAAAATGGAATGTTCTTATCACATGATTTGATATGGTATTGTTTATAAAGTGTAGTTGTAAATGGTGTTCCGTCTCCCATTGTCATGTTACTGTGAAACGGTTCTTCTCTAATTGCACAATTATCAAATTGCATAACCCCACTTGTGTTTAATGTAACGTAACCAAATTTTCGAACTTCTGTGTGACCGTCTGGAATACCTGTCTTTCCCCATACTAGACCTTCATTAAACGCTGAAATGTATTTTAATTAAGTTTTATATTAATTTCGATTTAAAAATAAACATTTAAAAAAACATGAGTGGAATAAATCGCAGATCGGTAACTAGCTGGAGCACTTTGCAATCATTTTCAACTACATTGCTCTTGTGTTTTTTTTTGTAACATACTCAGTAAAGCTGAACCTGCATTCTGACATTATAAATAATTTTAGTTTTCTACAATATTCAAGTTTATTTATATTTTTACTGGAAATGGGTCCATAGAACACGACATCCCCGCAAATTTGACCTCTAAGAAACACCTTGACCTGGGTGTTGCGCGATACACACACTCCGAACCTGGTGGAGACATCTGCGAAATATATTGATAACACATCAAGTGATGAAAAAAAATAAACAAAAAGGGAAAGTAGACAAACACAATTTCACTCTTGATCTCAATTTACCCGTCTGTAGATTTTCCACAGTCTTTCTGGAAAAACTCTGGAAAATAACCGATTTTCCATGAATTTCCATAAATTTTCATGAAAACAAGCTTTTTTCCACAGTATTCACAGAGTACTCTGGAACAATTTTCATGGAGAACTCTGGAACTTGACTTTTTCATCAAAGAAATAACCATGAAACAATTCTGGAAACTCTGGAAAGTTAACACTTAGACAATTTTCAAGGAGTTTTACTGTGGAAAACACTTAGTCATTTTTGAGAAAGTTTTGGACTTAGGAAATTTTCATTTGATTGCTGCATTTATGTATACTTCACTTAATACATTAAACTTTAATATTTTTTCCTATGAGGGTATAAATAATCTTATTAATATAAGACAGTTTTCTGGTTTTAAGACATAATTAAAATAAAGACAATTTAAAATATGGCATTGACACAATTGTAAACTGTTGACCAGATATTTAAAAACAGCAAGAACAAAACTAGAACTATCGCTGAATGCGATTCATACCCCCACCAATGTCCTTGACAGAAGACAACTTGGAAAGGTGGTTAAGGGAATAACTTAAGTGACACAAATACATAAAAAGAAATTATCTCTGGTGAAAAAAAGACATAATTGTACAGGTAATAGTAAAAATATCTATTATCAAATCATGTTCGAAACAGTTACAAATAACCTTTCATTTTCCCAATATACTAAACTTTTTATAAGTCAATTTTTGACCTTCAAGTGTGGCCTTGACCTTCAGCTGGCACAAGGGTAAGATGGGCTTTGCACATCGCCCAATTGGAGTGAACATTTGAGTAAAGTTTGAAGAAAATCCTTCCATTAGTATAGAATTTATAGAGTGGACACAACATATTGTCTAGTATTGATTGTATGTAAATTTAAAGACTTAAAAAGGGGCATAACTTTGTCAAAATCCAATACAGAGTTATGAAACTTGACCTGCATATCGTAATTGTGACACCTCATATATCTTTTAAGTTTCAAGCAAATACCTATGCTAGTTTCCGAAATATTCAAGAACATGTTTTAATCTAAGAACATTTTCTAAGTCAATTTTTGACCTTCAAGTCTGACCTTGACCTTTAGCCTGCACAAAGTTGACATGGATTCTGCACATAACCTTGTTTAAGTGAACATTTGAGAAAAGTTTGAAGAAAATTCTTCCATTAGTATAGGATTTATAGAGCTGACACAACATATTGTCTAATATGTGATTGTGTATGTATATTTGAAGATTAAAAAGGGGCATAACTTTGGTTAAAATGCAATACAGAGTTTATGAAACTTGACCAGGCATATCTTAATTGTGACACTTCGTTTATATTTTAAGTTTCAAGCAAATACCTTTCCTAGATTCAGAAATATTCAGATATATGTTAAAATTAAAGAACATTTTTAAGTCAATTTTTGACCTTCAAGTGTGACCTTGACCTTAAGCTGGCAAAAGAGTGACATGGGTTCTGCACATAACCTTGTTGAGGTGAACATTTGAGCCAAGTTTGAAGAAAATCTTTCAATAAGTGTAGGACTTACAGAGCGGACACGACATACTGTGTAATATTTGATTGTTTGATATTTGAACCTTCAATTGTGACCTTGACCTTGAGCTGACACATGGGCAACATGGGTTCTGCACATCCCATTGTTTGAAATGAACATTTGAGCCAAGTTTTGAAGAAAATCTTTCAATTAGTGTAGGACTTACAGAGCGGACACGACATATTGTGTAAAATTTTGATTGTTTGATATTTGACCTTCAATTGTGACCTTGACCTTAAAATGACACATGGGCAACATGAGTTCTGCACATTCCTCTTGTTGAGGTGAACATTTTAGCCAAGTTTGAAGAAAATCTTTCAATTATTGTAGGACCTACAGAGCGGACACGACATACTGTCTAATATATGATTGTGTTTGATATTTGACCTTCAATTGTGACCTTGACCTTGAGCTGACACATGGGCAACATGGGTTCTGCACATCCCCTTGCTGAGGTGAACATTTGAGCCAAGTTTGAAGAAAATCCTTCAAGTGGTATAGGAGTTATAGAGAGGACATGAAAATGGAGATGGACGGACGGACTGTAAGTTAGCAAAATAAACACTTATAGTTAAACAAAATGAAACCATAATAAGCCTCTCAAGAGCTTACCGTAACTGTTTCTTATTTTATTGCAAAAAAAAAAACTAAATAAAAAAACATGCAACCCCACTGCCACTCTTTGGCATTGAAAATGCATTAAGGTATTTTTTCATTTAACTCTCATTATTTTCAAGGTATCTCATATCAAGCCTGATCTGTGTGGTTCAGTATTATGTATTACCCTAAGTTAGAAAAAATAAATACACAATTAAAGAGAAACAATTTAAATTTAAGAACAAATGTAATTGTTATGCACTTATATTTCTTTATTAATTGATGATAAATTTATTTAATATGTATCTCTATGAAGTATATATAATTTATATATTCATCATGTGTAGAAGTAACTTATGCATAGTGATTAATTTCTGGAACATTCAAATCAGCATCAGCCACAATGTAAATATTTATGACCCCTCAAGTGGAACCCACTGGATTCATAACTATCAATGTTAAACTCACCTATCTAAGAATAGAAAGAGGTAAAGCAGGTTTACAACATACTATATTACACTGTAGCTCTCAAGTAACTTAATACTCTTGCAGAACAAATCACAGGTCAGAACACTCCTTCCAGCCGGGTCATTTGAACAGAAGCATTGAAAGATAATGTTTATTAGTGCCAAACTGCTTAAAATTTATAACTTGAAATATTATGTTTGAGCATTGGAAATTAGATCAAATGAGTTTAAACTGGACAAATTTACAAAAGTTTTCTGGAAGTATGAACTTTTAAACATGTGTATTTCATGATTCAGTTAAAATGGAGGGAACTACATGTATATAACCATTTCTAACAGTAAGTACAAATGTATTTTTATTTTTTAACACTTATTAATTGTTAGTTTTTTCAAACTTTCGTTGCAAGTATACACTGTTTCAGTGATTGTATTTCTACATACATGTAACTTTTCAATATTAGATAGATTATAATAAGATAGATAGTTAAGAAAATCTTTTTCATTTTTAAATAATGGCGGGAAATTTTAAATCAGAGATTATAATTTTCCATTCAAAATATTGGTGATTGAAACAGATTCCATATCAAGCAATGAATTTCCCAATTCACATTTAATAAAATTCATAATATGCCTTAATTGTAATTCCTTGTTACTCATGTACATATGTTTATTTTTTTAACATATCAGCTAGGTTGCAAACTTTCAAGTCTTGGAGTCACATGAGATGTTTCAACTCAAAGGATGTCAGATGAGGGAAAAGTGATAAATGTACTGTTGAATACTGAGAATGCTTATATAACTATCCTGGTAATAATTTAGTTTGTTTTGTTGAAAAAAGTCGAAGTAACATGTTTTCATATAAATGCATGCTATTTTCAAAACTCTGAACAAAATGTTGGTCTTCATGTTTAATGCATATATTATTGTTATACTGACCCTCAAACTTTCAGTGGTTTGTTTGTTTGTTTTTTGGGTTTTACGTCACATCGACACAGTTTAGGTCATATCGCGACATTTCAGCTTTACTGGTGGAGGAAGACCTCAGGTAATTTCAGTGGTAATTAAGTACTTGTGAAGGATTGAGTAATTTAAACTGCCATTACATACAGTTGTCATTATATAGATACAGGAAAAGCAGGGAAATTATTGACACAAGTTTATCATAATGTTGATTTTGACCAAAAATAAATTATTTTCATCAAAGCATGGTGTTTACTTGATAACTCTGTGCTGATATTCTGCAAAAATCATTTAATTGAAAGTTTTCCATCTTAACTTTTTTCACCCTTTCATTTGTGAAGGATATATACATGTGTACCAGATGTATGTTAAATTACATTTGTTTGAATAAAAACACTCTGACTAGAAATAATTGTGAAATGTGCAAATTACTTTAAGTGTTTGAATTCTTGACAACTAGAGTGTTTTTTTTTATTTGCTAATAAAACACAAATGCGAATTAAAAGGTCATTTTAAGTATGCAACCATCATTTCAGTTATCCCAAAATGTTCCAGAGTGAATTCCATAGTAATTCCAGAATTATTTCAAGGCTAAATGGCATCTTACTCCAGATCCTATTAACTGCGGAACTTTTTCCAGAGCGGCTCTGGAACATTTTCCAGAGTAACTCCGGAACATTTTCCAGAGTAACTCTGGAACATTTTTTCCAGAGTACTATGTCATTTTAGCAGACCAATTTCCAGAGTTGCTTTGAAAACTCTGGAACATTTTCATGGAAAACTCTGGAAAAGTTTCATGAAAAAAGCTCTGGAAATTCATGGAGAAAGTACATGAAAATTCGCGATTTTTTTTTCAGTTTTCTTTGAACAACTCCGGAAACTGGTCCGAATTATCCAGAGTTGGCAATTTCCATGAAAATTCCTGAAGTTTTCATGGAAATTCATGGAAAATGTACGGACGGGAAGTCACATTGACATTAAGTTCCAGATTTTGGTTTTGCACATGACACACCATTTAACAGATGTGAAGACAAAAGCAAAATAATTTGGCAAAAATTTAGATACAGTGTGATCCCTCGGAAGCATAAATCACAACAAATTTGCATAACAAAGTGCAACATCTCTCACAATCCATCAAAACAGGGTCAGTAAGGAAGCCAGAGTTATGTGACAAATAAAATTGCTGATATGATTCTCATACTCTAAATCCCGTCATGCATGCGGCGGCGTTAAATGGACGCAATCCCTGCATGGTCAAGCAAACACAGGACAACCGGCAAGGAACCCAGCAGGAAAACAAAACCAAATAGGAAGAGCCACAAGTCAAAGCACGGACGAGGCAATTGCTTTAATTATTCATGATAATGTGTTGAATTAAAATGATTCTGTGTAAAGTGGAACACTTATACGAAAACACACACGCACGCACACACATGCACATGGATAAGGTTGTAATCATATATCACCCAATAGTTTGGCGGGGATATAAAAATATAATATATTGAGATATGTCACTTATTCAAAACAAAAAATAAAACTCACAAGGTAATGTGTTATCAGGAAATCGTCCTTGCTTTGGGGCCCGTGTTTCAATCCTGAACAGCGCAAGATCAACTCCTGGTTTACCATTTTCTCCTTCCCTGTATATAACTTGTACAAGTTTACCTAGTTTATTGTCAGGTATACGAACGTCCGGTTGGTACATCATGCCATCCAATTTTTCTTTAACTGTTATTGTTGACATTTCTTTCAGTTTAAATTTATCAGCATCATTCATTATAACGTGGGCACAGGTGATTCCACAAAGGCCGTATTCAGGATGTTCTATAAACCCGCCAAGTGTTCCCGCTTTTACAGGGCATGTCGAAGACGTAATTTTACAACCCATTGTTACATTTTCTTGATATTCTTCAGCTTTATTTACACATAAACGAACTCCACCTTCTCTTACATCAACTGGCGTTCCTTCTAATTTTGTAGGGAAATATTCTTCATTCAGTGGAATTATTCCTTTCACCAAAACATTAAGGACGATGCAAGGACGTTTTTCAATTACATGTTTAAGTCTCATTGGTCCGAAACATCTGGATGAGACTGATGATGCGGATATAGCAGACAGGAATTTGTGGTTGCTCATGAGTTTTTTAGAGTGCATGTCAATGATTTCTCCTATTTTTTGTGACTCTTTCTCAGTCAGTGGACTGTTTTCCTTGCAATGTAACATAACACTACTTTCGTCCGAGTAATTGTTAATGATTCTTATTTCTGTTTCCCAAATCACATTTATTTGAATGTTTTTTGCAGCAAAAACAAGAAATATAACATGTTTATCGTCTCCGAATCTATAGGCAGCTTCGACATGTACGATATGTTCCGATTCATCTTTAATCGCTTGACAAATCTTTTGGCATTCCTTGAATACTTCCCGTGACGTTCTTCCTTCTTTGAGCAACAGTTTAGTTAAATCAATATCATCCAAAATAGCATCTTCTTGAGAGTCTTTTGACCTGAGTACCTCATCTGTATAATTTCTTCAGTTATAACAAAGAGTTGTATTTTTTATATTACATTTACGATTTTTACTCCATGAAAATTACAATTCTTTGTTATTTTATATTAAAGACTGAAAACATTATATTAAGATACTAGTGTCATGCAATTTATAATGCAACACCTCTTATAATTTCAAAAATAACCAATCGACAATTTTAAAGAATGTCACGCAGACACATAAATTCAAATGCAACTAGCTCTTAGCGTCACATGACGTTCACATTGAATGATGTCATCATAACAAGGTGTAACATCAAGTTTTTTTTAAGTCGTCATGGCTGCGGTAACGTTTCAGGAACATCATAGCTACATCAAAATTAAATGCAAGCGTAGAAAAACAGCGATGAAATGATTAATGTTTTTCAGGACGTTAGCGACACATCTTCTCTATCGTAATGCCAAGTTACAAAATTGTTGAATTAGAGTGTGCGTTAAATATGCCAACCGAGCAGGTTGATGTACGGCTACCGATATATTATCACTGTAAACAGATACAGTATGGCTCGTGTGTTGGAAATAATTGTAGGATCAGTTTAAACTAATCGTGTTATTATGAGAAAGGTTTTTGCCAGGTGGCTGCCACATCGTTTGACGCCGGATCAAGTAGAACGTCGTTTTGGAATTGGTCAGAAATCTTTTGATTCGGAAGGACAAGTATTCTTATTGCGAATCATTATAATAATTGCTATCGATGAAACTAGGGTGAGGTCGCATGAACTGAAGCTGAACAAGACAATCAGCCGATTGGCATACACCAAGCTCCTCGAGACCGGCAAAGTATAGAACTCAATCTTAACTAAAAATATTGATGATTTTAACCCACGACAGACGTGAAAATCTGGAAAGGTCAAAAGTGGTTAAACCATTAATTAGAACTACTATATGTATGTTAAGAAAACACTGAGACAAGCGATCCATAGGAAGAGAATTAAACTGTTGACAGCCAGTCCAATATTTTTACATGACAATGCAGCATCGCATGGAGCGCATAATGCGACGTCATTGCTAGAAATTTTTGACTGGGAAACCTTGACCAACCCTTTCATTTACCGTGTAAAGGTCCCTGTGACATTGCCTTTTTTCCCAAACTGAAGGAATACATGAGTGGCATTTATTATATCTATTTATAGGAACTTTAGTTTGACGTGGTTACAAGTGTAATGTGCTTGAGAACAGTCAAGCATAGGGCATAGATGACCAGCAAGAGAAGAAGAAGTCAGTCCCCGATCACATGGGATATTACTGTGAATAAATGTAGAGAGGTCGCAACCTTAGATTACTTGTTTCTAAAATAACTTAACCTAAAAAGATTGTATTTTATAATAAATGACTCTCGTATTATCACGTTAGCCAGTATAACCTAACTTACAATTTTAAAATTTCTGACGATAAATATGATATGAAGATAACATAATTTATAAAGGTTATAAATAATTAATAACCTTCCACTTTCCTGCTTTTTTACATGCAAAAATAAAATATTTTAAAAGTTCATAAGAATATGCAATTTAAATCTTTGTTCATAATTTAGATAAAATAACATTGACTCTTACAATAGCATAAAGCGACTTTAAATTGAAACTAAATATAAGAAAATAACATTATTATTTATGTTTGAAAGAAATTAAGTCAAATTTTGAAAGGGAATTCTTATACGAACCTTTCAAACTAAATAGTTGGTCGCTAGCCTTTGACAGTTCTCCAGAGGAAATTGACTGCTGTAAATATAGATCATACAATACTTATTTCACAAAAATAATTAAACAAGAGCAACCGCAAAGCAGCTTCCGAACCAAGTTTTCTAATTTGTAAAATCAAAAACATCAGAGGAAGAATATTGTGGTAACGAATACATCTAGCAAACAAAATTTCCTTGGTAAAAAAAAATTAGTTCAGATTTCATATATATGACCCTTAAAAGTGAGAGTCAATTTCAAATCAATGTCTGTATTATCGTAAGTGTCATTTTGCACAAGTATATAATTGTTAATAACAAATGGATAATTAATACTTAATGCACATAATAAAGCCACCATCTAGAGTGCGCCACGCTTGACATTTTTTTTTATTTCTTAAATAAAGAATAGCAGAGAAAAACTAGTATAGTAAATGATACTGCATTCTAGAAAATTAATTTCATAATTAATTGACAGTCAATATCTGTAGTGTGTTCTTTCACTGAAAAGTAATATTTTCATTTTTCCTTTCTTTTCGTTAAACACGCCAAATTTAAGTGTATTCTTATTTATTACACATACTACTAACTTTAAATGTTAAAAAATAGAAAGTTAAAGCCCCATTATGCCTAAGAAGTGGTCTGATTTTTATTTCACAAAATATTATAATTATAATTTTTGGTGCTTGTTTCCGTTTTAAAATACTCATTTTCCATAAAGATGAACCATTCTTTCTTCTTTTGCATTTGTTTGGCAATTGGGAAAATTATATAACAAGAGCTGTCAGAAGGACAGCGCGCTCGACTTTTTTAGTGCTTGCCTATAAAACAAAACTTTGACAGTTAAGGGCACACAAGACTTTAACTAGGAATTTCTAAGTACAAATCAAGAAACATTTTCACAGAGTTATCTTCTCTTGCTTACAGATAGGTCTCATGATGGCACATAAGAACTCCAACTTCCAAAGTAATATCTCAAATGGTTAAGTCAACAAGTGGACAAGAATGAAAATTTTAACTGAGTTTCTAAGTCAAAAAGGGCCATAATTCAAATAAAATCCTTAACAGAATTACCTTCTCCTGCCCATGTTTTGGGACCATGATGGTAAACAAGTATTCCAACTTTCAATTTAATATCTCAACCAGTTCAGTCAAAAAGTTGACTGGTACAAAAAAGTTAACCAAGATTCTAAGTCGATAAAAGGCCTTAATTTTTAAAACAAATCCCTGACAGAGTTACCTTCTCTTGCGTACAGATGGGGGTAATGATGTGAAATAGCATTAAAAGTTTCAAAGCAATATCTCAAAGGGTTAAGGCAATAAGTGGATTTTACCCATATTCAATGTATTTTCTAAGTCAAAAAAGGGGCATAATTCTGTCAAAAACCTTGAACAGAGTTATGTCCTCTTGTCTGTTGATGAAGGTCGTGATGGTAAACAAGTATGGTCAGTTTCAAAGCAATACCTCCAATGGTTTTGAAATAAAGTGAGGTGGTACAAAAAACTTAACCAAGCTCAATACACTTTCTAAGTCAAAAAAGGGCCATAATTCTGTCAAAAACCTTGACAGAGTTATGTACTCCTGTCTGTAGATGGAGGTTATGATGGTGAACAAGTATGGTAAGTTTCAAAGCCATACTTGTAATACTTCTGAAATAAAGTGGGGTGGTACGAAAAACTTAACCAAGGTGTGACGCCAACGCTAACGCCGACGCCGGGGCGAGTAGGATAGCTCCCCTTTTCATAGAAAAGTCGAGCTAAAAAGTATTGAAGTAAATATACTACTGTTTGTTTACATTTCGCTTCCTTTACGACACATTAATGCACATTCCGCGCTACGTTCTTTGGTGGTTAAATGTCTGTCATACTCTTAATTCCTCATTAAAACATTATCAATCTCGTGTTTGACATTTCTAAAGAATACGACATGGATTTCTGAGACATAATGACTTTAACTTGTAAATAGGCATTTAATTGACTTTTTTTTTTAAATCAACTCTTCGCTTCGAAATGTTTTTGTTTGATAGTTATTCTACACATTAGATATCATGTAACATACGTATATTAAGCTGACGATGTGAGGCGTAGGGTGCGTTTGATTATTGAAATATGAAACTATATAAAACCAATAAAAAAGCAAAAAAAACCAAGTTTATCCATTTACCGGCTTCAAAAGTATTCGTTAGCACGTGCTATTTATGTTTAACACTCTTTAGTAAAATTTGAATGTTTGCTTCATTGCTAGTATTTTCACCAGATGCAATAAAACCGGAGATTGATTTAGAGGTTTTAGATTCGGCACTTTGAGGGTCATTTATAACTGGCATTTTATTTGTTAACACGTCCGTGGCTGATTCTTCTGTGTTACATTCATAGGGCATGCTGTGTTGTCGTATTTTACTTTCTTCATGATCAGATTTATCAGCTTTATTTTCTGTGATTTTCGTTGTGCGGATAGTCCCTTCAGCTAATTTTTCTGGGCAATCGTTCTCATCAAATTCTGTTGGCGAGCTTACCCATTCTTTATCGTTCATGATAAATTTCCTCACCTGAACAGCAATGCCTTCTATGCTATCAACGACTTCTAAAGACTGCTTCAAAAGCCTTCTCGTTAGACTAGTTTTGCCTTGTATACAGTTACCAACCACCTTAACTCTTACAAATCTGTCTGTCCGGCACCCTGTTTCTACAATACAAAACAATGTCATTAAAAACACATGAGTCACTGTCTAGTGGGAGCATTTCTAATTTCTGAAGTCAAACACATCAGAGGAAGAATATTTTAGTCAAATATTTTTTGTTAAAAAAAAACCCATTCAAATATCATATTTGACCTTGATGAACAAGGTCACATTTGACCTATTCATCGGGTCAGTTTTGTCATAAGTGCTCTTTTGCTTAAGAATAATAAATAATGCATTATTCAACATATTTGTTTCATCATAGGATTTTTTTGTTGTGTGTCAAGGGTCACATTAAAGTCAAGTCAAATTGAATTAGAATTTCAAAATGTGTTGTCCCAAGGATTACTGTTCACATGTATGAACACAATACATTTATTAATTACAAATTATAGGCAATTACAGCATAACAAGAGGGTCTTGATGGCCACATGAGAAGATGGTTTAAATAACAAGATTTTATTTTAGACATTTTTTTTCTATTTTCAGCTCTAATAGCCATTTTAATCAGCACACCAATATACTTTTATCAACTGTAGTAAAAAACAGCCCGGTCACCATTCTCATAGAGTTTAATCAAAATATATAGGTGATCGAGGACACAATTCCAAATAACTTGTCATGTCACATTTCTTTTTCTAATACTGGCAGTCATCTTGTTCAACAGATCGGAAACATTTAAGCAATGTCTATAAAGACCCATCGAAGGATCATTCCTGTATAATCATATTTCCATCAAAATCTACCAAACAGTAAGAAAAAGGTTGTCGTTTAAAGGTTTTTGTTCTTATTTTTGGAAGCCGACCGGTGACATGTGTGATAATAGCGCGACTTAATAGCCGTTTTGAGATCGGGGAATTCAATATATTTTCAAAACTATGCCAAATTGTTGTTTTCATTTAAAGCAAATATTGTAGCATTGTATGTATCAACAAGTAGATATAATACACCTATTAAGTTTGATATATAAAAGGTATCAAGACTAATTTTTGATAGATATTTCCCAGAATTTGAACTCACTTGAAAGTGATTTACGGTCTGGATTTATGAAGAAATCAGTGTTGATAAATTCATTTCTAATGAAAGCAATATTTTTGTTAGCATGGGGATAAGTATTTAAAGGAACTTAAAGTGTAGACAGTGAGGTTCGTTTAAGTGATTTCACCCCCCAAAAAAAAGAAATAGTTTGATAATTTATGTTTACAAAACTTGGCTGCGTACAAGGATGAGAAGCGGTTTCTATGTATAAATTTTCTTATTTCTCAGAAGATTCTGTTAAGTAAAAAATATAACAATCAATGTAAAAAATAAATTCTTTTTAGAGTGCTTTTAATAATTCTCGTTGTCGAAAAATGAACGATTTAGGAAGGAAAGAAAGAAAGAGTGAAGATATTTCAATCAGTAACTTTACAGATCATTTTTGCAACATAATGTCAGCGGAGAGCGATAAAATAAAAAATAATTACTATGAAGATTTTATCAATTATTTAGGTGAGGGGGATGTATGACAATAGCGAATTTGAGACGTTAGATGAATGAATCACAAATGAGAAAATCATGAAAACTATCCATTTGCTTGGAGTAAGAGCTGTTTTTCATGAGTGAAATAGAATTTGATCCTTTATTAAAAACAAACGAATTTTCATTTATTTCATACTTTGTATATGTTTTTAAACGTAGTTTTACTGATTTTGCCCAGTCACGCGCTCTCATTCATGACGCCATCAGACAGGACGTCACATTGCTCTTGTTGAAAAACAGTTCTGTAAACTTAAACTTCTAACGTTATAATTTTGAACTGATTGGTGCAGATATGCATGTTCTTTTCGTAACGAAGCACATTGAAGTGGATTTCTGACGATATTTTTACTTATTTAAGTTAAGTTTTTCATCCGCATTCAGATGTGGTCCGGCTACTGTGAAAATTATATTTTATAATTTCACTGTGGACTGAAAATCATCTTATTAAGATAGGCAATATTCTTGTTATTATATTTGTTCATGGCATATTTATTACAGTAATTATTATTGTTTTATTACTGTCTTTAACTTATATTGGCCGATTGCAAGGGTTTGAGGTGAAGGTTGCATCACAAATTATTTCATTAACCATTACTAACCCCGTTTAAAGTTTGATATAAAAGGATACTTATAAAACAATGGTTTTGATTTTTTTGATTTTTCATCTGAATAAATACATTGTATACATTTCGCAAGTTAACAAACATATCTTAGATTATTTAAAGTGTAGAAATAAACAATGGTAACATCAGAAAAACATCTTTCGTCGAAAAAAAGTCAAGTTAAACTAAGTGAAGATTATGCTTAATAATAAAGATTTTAAAAGTAGAAAGGTAATCTGGTGCATGCTATATCTTTTTAAAAGTATATATAAATATGTTTTCATTGAACAAAAAAGAAACGTTTATACGTAGAATTTGATTTGTAAATGATATTAAATAGACTCCAGTCAGTACCGTGTGAATAAGGCTCCCACATTTACAATTTTTTGTAAACGTTTACACGACTGCTAAGAACCGAAACGAGACCGTTTAAACGGTGGTACCTCTATGTACTATACACACCATGTATCTGAGTCGCCAAATGATGTCTTTCTTTCTATTTTTTACACATGTACAAATAAAGAATGCGCAGGGCTCATCACGATTGAGTCAGCACACATTTTTTTTGCATTGTAAACCCATTTTTTACCAAAAATGTATTATGTCACGAGCAATTTTGCACCGTAATGCTGTGTGGAGGGCTGTAAACACCTATTTTCCGTTTGTTTACTTTGGAATAAACCACTAGAATTGATAAAATCCATGATAACAGGCAATGATTAAAAAAATTATAAGACAATATGGTCATTTCGATTAAACGGTAAACAATATCGTAAACGTTTATGAATGAAAATCGAAACGAATCCGTTTAAACATGTAATCGTGGGGGCCTTACGTGTGAATCAAGATGTAAATATGTTCAACTTGCTGTTATGGACATCGACGTTGCTTTTTATTACACAAACGACCAGACGACTTTTTATCTCCGTCAGATATTACGTATATCGTCGGCAATAAATGTTTAAGTTCGCTCTTTCCGATCTTAATGCTTTTTATATGCCCGAAAGGGCATATTATGTTATACCCCCTGGCATCCCTCTGTCTGTCTGTCTGTCCGTCCATCCGTCCGTTAGCAATTTGGTTTCCGGAGCATAACTCAAGTTCCATTTGGCCCACAATGTTCAAACTTCATAGGATAATTGTCCATATTGGGTAGAGACCCCTATTGTTTTTGGGGTCAAAAGGTCAAGGTCACTTTTACCTAAAAACTGAAAACAGTTTCCAGAGCATAACTTAAGTTCCATTCGACCCACAATGTTCAAACTTCATAGGATAATCGTCCATATTGGGTAGAAGACCCCTATTAATTTTGGGGTCACAAGGTCAAAGGTCAAGGTCACTATTACCTTGATACTGAAAACAGTTTCTGGCGCATAACTTAAGTTTCAATTGGCCCACAATGTTCAAACTTCAAAGGATTATTGTCCATATTAGGTAAAAGACCCCTATTGATTTTGGGGTCAAAAGGTCAAAGTCACTATTACCTTAAAACTGAAAACAGTTTCCGGAGCATAACTTAAGTTCCATTCGACCCACAATGTTCAAACTTCACAGGATGATTGTCCATATTGGGTAGAAAACCCCTATTGATTTTGGGGTCACAAGGTCAAAGGCCAAGGTCACTATTACCTTGATACTGAAAACAGTTTCCCGAGCATTACTTAAGTTCCATTTGGCCCACAATGTTCAAACTTCATAGCATGATTGTCCATATTGGGTAGAAGACCCGTATTGATTTTGGGGTCAAAAGGTCAAGAGTCAAGTTCACTATATCCTTAAAACTGAAAACAGTTTCCGGAGCATAACTTTAGTTCCATTTGGCCCATAATATTTAAACTTCATAGGATGATTGTCCATATTGGGTAGAAGACCCCTTTTGATTTTGGGGTCAAAAGGTCAAGGGTCAAGTTCACTATATCCTTAAAACTGAAAACAGTTTCCGGAGCATAACTTAAGTTCCATTTGGCCCATAATATTTAAACTTCATAGGATGATTGTCCATATTGGGCAAAAGATCCCTATTGATTTTGGGGTCACAAGGTCAAAGGTCAAGTTCACAATTACCTTAAAACCAAAAACAGTTTCCGGAGCATAAGGTAAGTTCCAATTGGCCCACTATATTCAAACCAATTGAAATGACATGAGCAAATTCAAGTGTGACTGTCACAAGGATGCTACAGACCAAATTTGAAGTAAATCTGTCCAGCGGTTTCAGAGAAGAAGATGATTGTTGACGCATGACAACAGACGACGGACGCCGGAGTATCCCCCTTTGATACTAATAGCTCACCCTGAGCCTTCAGCTCTGGTGAGCTAAAAACTTGCAATAGTCACCCCCAGGCATGTGACATTTTTACTCAAGCGACTTGACTTTTGTAGATAAACAACAGGCATTGCTACATTTCATATAAAAGCTCTTTGGTTTTTATTTCAGAAGATATACATTGATTGATTTAAGAACCACCAATGTTTTGTAAGCTAGCTGGTAAGCTTCCTCACATGGAAGAATCCAAAGTCCTTGGCCGAATTCAAACCCTCAGCGGCGACAGGCAAGTGGTTTGAAGTCAATGACCTTAACCACTAAGCCATTGGAGGACTCTACTTGTGTCTTTACAGGAAAATTGTTGTTAACCTTTCCCTTATATAAGCCTGTTTCGACGGCTTTCCCCCCCCCCCCTTTTTTTGAGGTCTCAAACAGTGAAAATGCCCTATTTAGGCCCCAAACACTGTTTTTCGTTTGAGAAATGTTGTTAATAAAAGTGACCACTTTTTGGGCGCTGTACCCCATCCAAATGTTTTGGGGGGTTGAAGGGGGGCAGATTCCCCCTCATCGCCAAGAAAATTTTGGACATTTATAGGGTAAAAAATGGCCTCAGGTCGATCTTAAAGTCTTAAAGTCAAAGGTCAAGGCCACAGTGTAAAATTATTGTCAGAGCCCGAAAACTAGGGATGTCATTCCGAGTCCGGATATCCGAACGTTCGGATCACGATTCTGTGTCCGGAGCCAATTTTCTGATCCGGAAGTTCGTATAAAATATTTTAGAATATTGAGAAAATGTGAAAAATACATGCGTTGAGATAAGCGTTGAGATAGGCGTATCAAGGAAATTCATAGTAAAACATGACATCTATAGTTATCTAAAGTTGCTGTTGTCAGCAATAAAAATCAACAAAAACAGTGATTGATAAACTCATATACCCCTACCCTGATTCTTGTCAGTTTAGGCAATTTGCCAGAAAGGTTTACCCATAAACTATAAACTATGTGGAATAAAATTGTTAACACAGTTATATAACATGACAAAGTCATGAACTTTTGTTCTTGTCAGAAAAAAAAATTGCGTTTGCTTTTTTAGCTTATTAGTTGCATAATATCAGGTGATTGCAATTTAAAGCCTATGGATTTGTTTCTATATTTTATACATGATCAAACTAGAGCTACCACTGGAGTGGTGAATATCCCTCACTTGGTCTCTATGGCACAAGATATATTACAATATGTAGTGTAATTTATTATTATTTTTTTTAAGAAAACATTTAAGATTGAAAAAGAGTCATTTAAAAAGAATGAAATTTGTAGATCTACTGCAGATATAAAATGTTTGAATTTTGACCTTCAAGGATGACCTTGACCTTGCAGAATGGCAGCATAGGTTTGGCACTTGGCTTGTTGAGGTGAATATTTGAGCCCAGTTTGAACAAAATCCTTCCAGTATAGGATTTATAGATAAAACACCATAAAGATGGACGGACTGACTGACCAAACTACTGACTGACTGACAAAGGGCCATGACAGTGATTCTAGTACAGCGCCCTCCACATAATGTGGTTGAGTCTAATTACCATGTGTGATATATACCTTCATTAGATGGATCGTAGCAATGTTGAGGATCTAAAAGATCTGCTAGTTCTGTGCAGTCAACATTTACATGTCGGAGCGCTAGTACAAGCTGACGAAATCCCTCCGGTCGCCTTTCAAGATGACTATGTAGTACTTGAGCTGCATAACTTCTAGACACAGATCTTTGTGCAGTATCTACTGTGTCCTAAAACACATAAAATTATCCTTGTAAAACAGTTACTATGATAAATGTGCTTTAAAACAAAACTTGAAAGTTACTCTGATTTTTTAAAATTTGCAGGAAAAATTTATCTTTTAAAAAGTATACCCAAATCCTAATTGGAAATGTGTAATGGTTTTTTATCATTGACTCTAGCACTTTTATGTGTTGAAAATTGAGTACCGCTCAAGCCGGTGCTAAGGGGATGAGGGATGTTGCACTTTTTCATTATCAGTGATTTTTTATTCCAATTTTCCAAACAACCTGTGGCTTTCTGAAGGGGAAAATATAACATGATAAATCAGAAATGGGGGAAAATCTGAAATAAAATTCAGACAACTGAAAATGGAATTTTCCCACAAATGTTATAAAATTTTCAACTTCAGTTCAATTTAACATGCATGGTACATGGTATCTACAGGGATTTATCAACTAGCTGATATGTTATAATTCAGGCACTATTAAGTCATGGTTCTGGTGGGAAAATAAACATGTACATGCATATTTTGGTCTAGGGGAAACAGCGTTTTTTGGCTGTAAAATACAGGGGAAAATAATTTTTTATCCCTTGAATACAGACTCAATGAAACCAAGTCTGCAATTTTCATGTTGTTTTTTTTTAGATGAATGTTTGGAGGGTTCTCACTTTGTCAAGATTTTCATTAATCATGTTTGTTTGTCTTCTTGGAGTTTAAGTTCACTCTGACACTGTGAAAAAGTCATATTTTGACTTTTGTATTTCTACTTATGGAGGAAGCCCTAAGGTGCATTTACAATGTATTTCAGGCATGAATGGGCACCTTTGTAGGACCACCAATCTTCCATCACCTAGTCCGATAGCTTCCTCACATGAAAGAACCCAAACCAAAAGTGGTCTGGGGCTTGTGAAGTCTGTAACATCAACCACTTGGCCTATGTATGCTCTTTCATGCACCTATTTTTGGTCTGAAGCTATCAAATTACGGATGTAACTATTTAACTTAAAAGAAAAGTAACCTATACAATACAGTAAAAGAAATGGCTTCTTTATCACCAATTAAGGGTGGTAATTGTTTATAAACATGGCTTCATTTCTTATATTTGGTTTCTGTGATATGCAGACATTGTAACCAAAATTTCTATTTTTTTTGTTTCCTCTATTGTGTTCTTGTTCAAGACACACACATTTTTTTAAAATATGGACCAAGATGCAGTTTTTCATCAAATGACAATACAGTGTTACATTGAAGGTTCCATGATTACCCTTATGAGCACATCTGGGGATGTGTCTGAATTATAAATTCTATCATTTCTAGTTAAATGTCGATTTTGCTTTTAGCTGTTGCTAGGGACGTAGACGGCTAAGCTTGCAAGTACCTGTACTATCTATGACCAGTTTTAATCAAATCAAGCATTCAACATCTTCTTTTTGACTGTTATTTAGGTATAACTATTTACTTTACACTTCAAAAAATCTGAAATAACCCAATATGTGAATAAATTTATGTCAAACTTATTTTGCAGCAAGGCAAACATACTTTAAGTACTGTATTTATCTGTATCCCACCATACATACCCTACTACTTTTGGACAAACATGGCAAATATGTAAGCAGCTGCTGTGGGTCCACTTGATCCAAAAAGTTTGGTAAGTACCTTAAAAAAATCTCTTTGTGTTTTCTCTCCATTGTTCTGTCTGAAATTTAAAAATAATATATTTAAAATATAAAGCTATAATACAATACATTAAACAAGAGCCACCTCCATAAATAAACAACAATTTGAGTTATGACAATTTAAGTAAAATCCAATAATTTGACCCTGAAGGTCAATGTCATATCAGAGCAATCAAATTCGTTGAACTTATATTCCCTGTCGAGTATTGGTTATTACTAACAATTACTAACACAATAACTGGAGACATAAGGCTTTATTTATAAGAGGTGTAACGATTCATCGCGATCTGTCTTGTCCCCGATGTATGCATCGTAATGAAATTACAAATTCCAATATATTGCGATGCAATAAATATTTCACCTCCCGATGTATCGATACAACGGGAAGGTATTGCAATACACTAACAATATCTTCCAGGAATATAAGGACAAACGTATTTTTTGAAAGACTGAAGAAAGAAAAATAGCTCGGATGAAAACAATAAACAAGCGCGACTTTTATCATACCATCGTTGTCAACTCGTTTCCCCATGTTCGCAATCTTTTAACGGTTACTAACCAAGTTTTATCAATTCCATGTAAATGGGCTGGTGTTCTTTGAACTTGTTTACAATAAAAACATAATTAGAGATCTGTGCGATTTGAAGAAAAATAACCTACAATCATAAATTTGTAATTTTATTTTGTAGCACTTGTCGGATTAAAATAGTGATGATGACAACATCCCCATGTGATATTCATTTCTGTTGACATCATTTTCCCGGAAAAAAAAACAACAAAGCAAACAAACAGAAAACATGAAGACTGCAAAATATGTAGACTGGGAAATTACAGTCAATCCTCCCTGTTCATATATGTCACGAGTTTTGGGAAAATTGTAGTTTTTTGGGAACCATGAGACAGTGTTGTATATAATGTGGAAGACCAGACGTGGAGTGTTTGCAAAATTTGCAAACTCAAAATAAAATACTCTGGGGTTGAGCACAAATCTTTCGAGAAAACTGAGACTGTAACTTATAAACTGTCATTTTCACAGTTGTTGACCTAATTGTAGATCACTTGACTTGTTACTGTTTTTTTCACAAGAAAAATCTTTAGTGGTGTATTGTAAGACTGAAATTGTTAAACAGCCATATTTACAGTAGTGGACTTTAGTGTTTGAATAGCTAGTAGATATCAATTTGCTGTTATAGTTAAATTAAAAAATACCTTTAATCCTCAAGTAATCAGAAAAGTAAATTGATAAAAGATCAAAATTGGAAACCAAGTAATTTAGTTATAACAACAAGTTAAAGAGTTTATTTTTTTGTTATTGTAATAGTTTTATATTATATTCGTAATTATGCTGTAAACAAATGGCCAATTTTTTATATACTAAGTTTAAAAGTCAGTATCGTGATACGTATCGCATCGCAACATAAGAATCGCAATATGCATCGCATTTCTTCAAAGTATGCAATACATATCGTGAATCGCATCGTTTTGAAAAACAAATATCGTGATAGAAAAAAATGGCAATGCACAGCCCTATTATTTATATATTTATCATTGCAAGTTAAAAACGATTGGTCAGTTCACCAGAATATAAGAATGAGACATCTTTATCTGTGTTATTTTCTTTGTACATGATAAACAAGAGCCCGGTTTGAGCCGGGTGATGCTCCCCAAATAGGTTTTGGACACAGGAAAAAACACCTCTTGTAGTTTCAGAGTTATGTCCCTGGAAAAAGTTCAAAGTGCAATAATATCAAAATTACGCAAGGCAGAGTTACTGTTCTTTGCACTGCACTTCTAATCACTGTTATCTATGAACCTACAAAGTTTCTTGTTGATATCTCTTATGGTTTCCGAGTTATGTTCCAGACAAATTCAAAAAGTAAAAATAAAGAGCAATCACTCCAGAATTAGGCAAGGCAGAGTTATGATTATTGTGCACTGCACATCTACCCATTGAGATATATCTACCTACAAAGTTTCATGTTCATATCTCTTATAGTTTTATAGCTATGTCCAGTACAAGATTTTTCTAAAAGGGGAGATAATTCAAAAATGAGGCTTAACAGAGTTATGGTTCTTTAGCACTGCACTTCTACTCAATGAGATTTATCTACCTTCAATGTTTCATCTTCAGATATCTCTTATAGTTTTAGAGTTATGTTCCGGACAAAGTTCAAAGTGTTGAAATTAACAAAGGGCAATAACTCCAAAATTAGGACAAAAAGAGTTATTGTTCTTATGCACTGCACATCTACCCATTGAGATCTATTCACCTACAAAGTTTCATGTTGATATCTCTTATAGCTTTAGAGTTATGCCCCGGACAAGATTTTTCTATAAGGGGGGATAATTCAAAAACCGGGTAAAATAAGAGTTATGGTTCTTTGACACTGCACTCCCCCTCAATGCCCTCTACCACTGTATGAAGTTTAAAAAAATTATCCTCAAGGGTTTTCAAGTTATGCTCCGGACAAGACAAGGGACGGACAGACGGACGGGGAGAAATTTTTCGGGGAGCATAAAAATCAGGGCCATAACAGGTCTCCCTTTGGTATTGATTGTTCCAATAAAGTTTCATTGAATTCCTGCTAGTAGTTGCAGACATTAGCATGGAAACAATTATTGCTCTATCAAAGGCATACTGCATAACCATAAAGGGCCATAACTCTGTCTTGAAGGGTCTGACCAGAACAAGACAACGATATGTGCAACTCCTCTTGGCATTGATAGTTCCTATACAATTTCATTGAATTCAAGCCAGTAGTTGCAAAGCAAATGCGCGGAACCAATAATTGCTATTTATACATACTGCATAACTACTCAAGTGCCAATAACTCCATGTTGAAGGGTCTGACCAAAAAAAGGGGGTATATGCGCACCTCCTATTGGCATTGATGGTTCCCTTAAAGTTAAGTGGAAATCCAGCCGGTAGTTGCAGAGAAATAGCATGGAAATGATTATTGCTCTATATGCATACTATGTAACTAATCAAGAGCCATAATTTTGTGTTGAAAGGTCTGACCTAAAGGTGATGATATCCTTTTTGATTTGATATTTCTCAAAAAGTTTTGTGGAAATTCAGCCAGTAGTTGCAAAGAAGTAGTGCGGTCACGATTATACTGCATAACTAATCAAGGGCCATAACTCTATATTTAAGGGTCTAAATGGAACATGGCAACAATATGCTCAGCTCATTTCCTCTTCGTAATGATGGTTCCAATCAAGTTTCTTTGAAATCCACCTAGTAGTTGCAGAGAAATATCTCTGGAAAAAAAAATTCAGACGGACGGACAACACCAAAACAATATCCTCCTCCCTATTCCATCCGTGTCACAAGGGATAATAATTCAACATGTTTGTTTGTCATGTGTTATTTTGTCTATATATAAATCAAATCTGTAACTGAATTATAACAAAGTTCTGACAATCTAAGTAAATTTCAATAATTTCACTTTGAAGGTCAAGGTCAATTTAAGGTCAAGGTCATTTCCAAATACTTCAACAATTTGCTCTTGTCACAAGGGTTCTTTTGTACATTTAGTATAAATCAAATTCTTAAATAGTTCAAATTTATATCTAAAACTGTTTGTGTGCATGTACATCAAAAAAAACAAAGTTACATACGAGAATCTAAGCTAAATCCAATATTTGAACTTGACAGTCAAGGTTATATAAAAGTCAAGTTTACTTTTGCCCAAGTGTAAATCAAACCCAAAAATGAATAACCAATTGTTGCAAAATTCACTAATCTGACATTTAGTATCAAGATCAAATTAAGGTAAAGGTCATGTATTGTCCCATAGATTGATGTGTCAAGTAAGAAGGCAATACTTATAAAATATTACACAATATTCAAGGTCAAGGTTATTGATGAGTGAATGTATTTATCAATTTAATCTACAACAAGGTTAGCTTTTAAAAAAGCTAGTACCTTGCTTCGTAACTTTTTTCCAGGGGTGTGTTTAAATGTAAATATGACAGTTCTGTTGGCTGAAGAGACTTCAGCGAACATCAAAATAAAAGTGACATATAAAGTTATGGAAGCCAGTTCTCTCAGTTTAACAAAGAGGAATATGAGTATATATATGAAGATACATGTAAACAGATAGAATGAAGGCACATTTACTATATTGCCTGTTGACCTTGACCAAAAAAATGTGAGATAGGTAGAATTCATTAAGATGTCTCTTTATACGAAAAGACACAAGTCCTAAAGTAAACACAAGTTGTCAATCAATTCAGCCAGAAAAGCCGGGATCATATTAAACAAGAGGGCCATGATGGCCCTGAGGTCGCTCACCTGTATATAGGCCCCCCAACGTTGCAGGGCCAATTTAACCCAAGGGCTTTTATTTGCACAAACTCGGTAGACACCCATAAGAAGATGTTTCATGCTAAACATCTAAGCTCTAGCTCATTGGGCTTTTTGAAAGAAGATTTTTTTAAAGTTTTTACTATACACATTTAGTTAAAAACAATGACACCCCTGGGGCCGGGCCAGTTTTGACCCCAGGGCTTTTATTTGAACAAACTTTGTAGACACTTACTAGAAGATGTTTCATGCTTAATATCTAAACTCTAGCTATTTGGGTTTTTTCAAAGAAGATTTTTAAGTTTTTGCTATACACATATAAAGAAAATCAATGACCCCTGGGGCGGGGCCAATTTTGACCCCAGGTCTTTTATTTGAACGAACTTTGTAGACTGTGACTCACTAAAAGATGTTTCATGCTTAATATCTTAACTCTAGCTATTTGGGTTTTTTCAAAGAAGATTTTTTAAGTTTTTGCTATACACATATAAATCAATGACCCCCAGGGCGGTGCCAATTTTGACCCCAGGGCTTTTATTTGAACAAACTTGGTAGACACCTATAAGAACATGTTTGATGCTAAATATCTTAGCCATAGCTCTTTGAGTTCTTTAAAAGAAGATTTTTAAGTTTTTAATATATGCATATAGGGAAAATCAATGATCCCCCGGGGCGGGGCCAATTTTGACCCCAGGGCTTTTATTTGAACAA